AGAAAAGTAAAGCGGGTTGTTTGTCAAGATGATTCATACAAACAGAGAATTTCAGAAGAAAAAAAATCGAATGAGCAAAAAGCAGGTACAAAAATGATTGTACCTTCCTTGAGAAAGGAAGTAAAAGAAACCGGTTTTAATTGATTCGAAAATCGTATTCAAACACTGTATAGAAGTAATTATTTGTCACGCACGCGCAGATGAATTTTATAGAGAATAAGATATATATATATCATTCTTGTTACTATGATTCTGAAAATCAGAAAAAAAAAATTGCAGAAAATTGAGCTCTGAACAATTTTTTTCAATAAATTCCAATTTTTTTCTGAATAATAATTTACAAAGCTAATGATAGTTAATTGTACAATGTATAAAATCAATTATATAATTAATTATCATTTGAGTTTAATTTGATAAAAGAGTAAACATTATACCAGGAGTTTCAATAGATAAAATTACATTACATAATATGGTTTGATTAGTGACAAAAACAGCTGAGTAACACATTTTTCCTTAATTCAAATTGTAATTATATTTGACGTTATCTTAATTGCTAAATATATCATACAAAAAGTTTCTGAGCTAAAAAGTTTGTTTGGAACTTGAAAAACATTAACTAAATATTTTAATTAATAGTTACATTACCAGTTTAAGCGAGCAATATAATATAATTAATATTTATATATTAAATCGAATCTAGCAAGTTCTTGAATTTCAAAAATCTCTTAATGTAAATATATTTTATAAAAAAAAGAAAGATAATAAAAGATAAATGTAATATCAATAAAATTGATTGAAATAAGAAAATAAAATTTCTAAAATTTTTTGCTAAACGGTGGTAGGCAAGACACCCTGTATAAAATATACATGCAGAACATAAAGATGAGAACATGTAGGTACTATGAAGAGAAATCCGCAGCTGGAAACGATTTAACGCACCACGTTAGATACGGTGTCGGCTAGTATAGAGTCTACATATCCGCTTGATACTCTTAGCCGTTCCTCCAGGCTCATTTCAAGAAAGTCCCTGGAGTCTCGTCTCTCTACTGATACTTTAGAAAAAAATATCAGCGGAACGTGAATCGGTACCACGTGCTAGAGCAAACCCACGCTGGTGTCTGAGTAATGCCAGAGGGAATACGAGTAGGCGTTAGATATCGAGGATGGCGCCACGAGAACACCACCATCATTTTGCTTGCTCATTCAATCATTCTAAACACCAATACAAAAAAATTGCTAAAAATACATGCGTTTTTATTAAACTCACAATCGATTACTAACGGAACTGTTTGAACAACTTTCAGAGATTAGATGTAGCAGGAAGAGATACAGATTTCTTTAGTAATAATAGAGATGAATGAATGATAAGTTATTTTGCAGAATTTAAATTAAATAATAATTCTTCAACAAGGAAATCAACAGTGAATTGTATTTTTGCTTCTTATGTAAAGCGAATTAGATTAAATTTTCTGATAAAAATTTGTTTACTCACTTGAAAAAAAATCCTCATGGAACAATTTTTTATAGTTTATTTTTAATTTCTTTATTTTTTTTTTTTACATTTACTGAATTAAATCTATGAAAAATAATTAATTCAATTCTTAAAACAAAAATAAGATGTTAATTGAATCTTTAAGATGTTCTGTTGGACTTTTAGAATGTCTAGGCTGATATGAAATGTTTGCTTGCCCAGAGAGGAATAAAGTCATCTGTCGTCAGACTCTGATTTTAATCCTGATTCATATGATCTTACAGTACATTATACTAGGTGTTTCAAACGCTTATTATAGCATTAAATAATTTATCAATTTTAATCTCTTAATAAATTTTAATTATTATTACTAATGTTGATTTATAAATGTACCATCTCTGCAAGCTTTTCGCCTTATCATAATAGAATTGTTCATGATAAACCAGTTAATGTTCGAAAAAAAATTCTCAACTCTTTTTCTCATTGAAGAAAAATATTCACTGTCAATTAGATAGAAACAATTGTTCAGATTTAATTAAATCAAAGTTTTCAACCATTCAAATGATGTTCTTCTTTCATTCTTGAAAGCTATTAGAAAATCAAATATCCATTTCAAACTTAAACATTCATTTAGATATCCAGTTGCTTCAACAATGAGCAAAGATTCATAATAGTTCACTTCTACATTTCTTGTAAAGTATCATATTTAGAGGATTTTTAGAGAATCTCCTTGCTTAGACGGTGTAGGTAAACATTCGATATGATGTCTTATTTCACCACATTTATATCATATTTATATAACTCTAAATAACAATCAAATTGATCTTGGTGTGAAAGAATTCACCAAGACTCTAAGAGTTACAGGTTCGATGACTCTTGAGCTGTATATAGAGGATGATCAGGAGACTTGAGTTATCATAACTTCTGCCACCTCCCGTCACGCATCACTTGGCACTTTGTGCCGGCGGTGAGTTCGAACGCATCAATAACAATCTCCTCTGATGGTCATTCACTCTGAAATGTCAATGAAAAATATAAAATCACTTGAGTCCTTGTATTAAATCACTTGAGTATGAAAAGTTCTACGAAATCAATTGGAAACATTTGCTAGTCTGATGAATAAAAAGTTATAACCAAGATGATTGTCGTGATCATTGCAACAATTATCCGTTGTTATTATAATCAGTGAAGATATCTTGTCGCTCAGGAGCTAATAATGTTGACAGAGATTATTCACACAGCAATAATCAAGGAAATAGAGTTGTTAGTTAATTATATAAAATGAAGAGACATGATGATAATGATGATGATGATATTATTGTTGTATGTCAGAGCAAGTTGATCCGTTAAGGTCACCAACCGAGTTCTCATAGCATTGCATGAAGTAAATAGAAGTTATCCATTTAGTAGAGATGCACTGACTACTCAAGATCGAGCTGTCTTTCTATGAGCTCAAAGGATTGTCGGCTGGAGACTGGACGCGAGACCAAGGCAAAACGTGTCGTACGGTTTGTAGTGTATCGTTGTTACCGAAGGAGCACGAGTCACATCTTCCAACGACCAGACACAGTCTCGTGTGCAGAGAGATATACATACCTACGCCAGCGTTTTACTGACCTCTACCTCTATAGCTGGCTTCAGGTCTGATGTTAGTTCTCTGCCTAGAAGACTAAGACTTACGTCACGTATTTCCGTTAGCTTCCTGATCTACCCGAAGCTTTTCTTCATAGAACTCATAAACTTTTCCTTTTTTTATGGCTGGTTAGACTAGGCTGAGATAGGAACTGTTTCTAGATGGCTGGTTATGATAGAAATGGTCAGGGTCTAGGAAAGCTTAGAAATAAATCTTGGGAACCTTTTTTAACTGAACTGATTGATTTATGAAATGATAGTTTTAATCCTATAAAAAAATTTTAACATGTTTATTAGATAGATTATATCAAAATACCTCATCCATTATGATGCTTTTATTGGATTTGTTCAATAAAATTCCTCTGACTTAACGAAGAATTCTCACGTATTTTACTCTAAAAATGAAGATATTTTTTGTTACTTTCTTTTTAAACTTGTTGATGTTAATGGGTTCTTTGATAGGTTTCTTTAAGAAAATGTAAATGTATAAAATTAGGGTCAAATGATTCGACCTACGACAATAGTCTAGACACAAAAAAAACCTTTTTTTTCTAACACCGAAAGTAAAATCTATTGTTTCATTTCTCTTTCTTAGCTTGGATATCTATACTGATCTCCAAGCTGGCATCATTTTCCACCGGATGGAATTGCGCACGAGTGCCTCAAACATCTGCTACACGAGTAATTTTCTCTTGAGCAAACATTTATCATTCTGTTCTGTCAAGCTAGACTAGTCGGCGAATAATAAATAAATAGATGAAATTTTGATATTAAATTATTGGCAGCAAAGAGTAAAATTACATAAGTGAAGATCGTGTACTTAATAATAATTAAGTATAGCATGTAAATGAGGTAGTAAAAAAGGGTGTGATAATTTGGTATGAAATAAATATGAGCTACACTTTCACCATAGGTGCATGTTGCTCTAACGAGTTTGAAATAAAATAAATTGAAAATATAAACGACTGATCGATACCCCAGGGAGCAGGTCTGGACGTAGCAATCTGTTCTAGCTATCAGCTATACAAGTAATGCGATGCAATGTCACTTGGTCGGCCTTGCCACGCTTCATCAACTGTATCTACTGGTTGGAGAACTTCCAGCCGGATGTTAGAATCTACTTGGAACCTTCAAGAGATCGCGCGAAAAGTACTATCGTCATCCAGGCGTAACGCTCCGATGAAATTTTATCGTATCGTTTTACTCGGGTACATCTTCTTGCAGCATTTCTCAAACACTTGGCAAAGGCAATTATTCTTCTGTCGTAAATTTCAGAGCTAAGGCACGCGAAAAGTCATCGACATTCAGGTGTCTTTACATCGTTAAACGCTCAGTGAAAATTCCAATGGAGTCTCTGAACCATCTGACTTGTTCGCTCTGTACTCTCTAGCTCAAAGCACGACTAAAGGATTTTTTCTTTTATGTACTGTAACTTGTTCCCATCCTTGCCTGCCCGCCAACACGATTTTTCTTATTTTTCCCGGCGTGTCCGTGGTCACGAGTCCGGCCTCCTGGTCGGGGCACTCATCGACTAGCGGTACTTCGAGTCTTCTCTTGCAGGTTGGGCAGGTGCGCTCCTCGTCTCGTGCCTCAATGAAGAGAAAGAGAAGAGAGTGGGCTTACTTTGGAAGGTGCATCAGATACGCTCCGCGGGGAGCGCCAAGACAAGAGGTTAATCCGTGTCTAACTGTAAGATAACTGGCCTGTCCAGATCGACCAGACGCCGCTTGTACTCATCTTCTCTTCTTCTTCTCTCATCATCCCTGCTTTCTTCAATGAACTTCCTATTCTACTCTTCTGTACTACATGAATTACTCCAAATCTATCGCTTTACTATTAACTCATCATCCAATCACCTCTGTCATCACTTTTCAATCCGTATTATGTTCACTTTCAGAGGCAGCATAATGCTCAACCATCCGAGAAAACCATAAACAAAAAGTCCACCGAAGCTGGCTGAGATTGAAGAGAGAAAGCTTGTTCGGTAGTTGACGAATCATGGGAAATAATAGCAGCTCTCATCAACATTCTGCATCTCAGGAAATGGGCCGTGGATGGACACAGTCATTTCCGAGAGAGTTCACGAGACATCACTCCCAACCCCCTGGGCATAAAGTCTTACCTGAGCCACCCAATCAAAAGCTTCGTGCTACCAATAATGGCAATATCATTCACAACGGTGGAACTATAAGTGGTCGCCGACCCACCGCTTTAACTCTGCCGCATGATCTTAATAAGGTAAATTACACCATAATCTCTGTATGAAAATACTTACATAACAAAAAATTTATTTTATTTTAACAAGAAAATTATTTTACTTCCATAAATATAATAATAAATTTCTAAAACTCTTGCTTCACCTTTGAATTGAGGTTTTTCAACTTCCTTTGATAATCAAATAGTTCTTTTATTTTTAATTCGAGCATAAAAATTTTTATAAGAAATATTTCAAAAGAACTATCAATGTTCAACTGAATATTTTTGTTACAGCAAGGAATTTATAGAAGCAGAAGTACATCAGCATCGCACTTGGGAGAATCTCGATCTCGAAGCAGTGATCAACGGAACCAACATTGCTGCACTGGTCACTTTCGCCCGTGTGATGGTAGCTGTCGTGTCAATGAAATGGTCGAGTTAAAGAGATTTGGTAGTGAACCCGACCTTAGATATTCACCAACAGAACCACGCCGTCAAACTGAAATTCGTAATTCTAGTTATTATCCTGAACGAGAGTCAAAAGAACGAGAAAGTCGTTATCGTGGTAAAAAGAAGTACAAAGCACCACCGCCTCCAGGAATGAACGGTGATGGTTCATCGCCAGATTCATACAAGTGGGAAGTGATTGGTCAAGATCGTGATAATAGTAGACATGAGGATGAATCTGGATCGAGGGAAATTCAACCACCTCCTAGGAAATCGCGATTATTTAAAACTCGAGCTGAAACAAAGAGACTTCAAAGTAACTGGACAACACCCTCCTTGTCGCAACAAGAGTGTAGTGACAGCATTCTTGAGAATGAACGAAGATGGTCCAACGAGAAACAGCGAGCATCCGGCAAAGAAAACCGACCCGTCTGGAGGGAGTATCATGAGCAGGATCGATGGTCGCGGGAAGATAGAAGAAGATCTAAGAAGTTTGACGGCAAGAATACTCTTCAACGAAGTCTTAGTAGTCCTGAATTCCAAGCTGAGCTGATGCAGGTAGCTAGAAAAGTGCGCAATAAACTTAATTATAATCATCGTGTAGGACCTGTTGGTGCTTCAATGAATGAACAAAAAAGTGAACCACAACTTTCAAAATCTACCACTTGTCTCAACTCTCATAAAGATCAACGTATGGAGAGAAAATCCGCACGATCTAAAACTGACTTGAATGATTTTCGAATTAATAAACGTAAAAGTAGAAGTATTGAACAGTTTACTAACAGTAATAATAATAGTAATAGATGTGAGGAGATTCGAACTTGCTCTCGATTCTATGAAGAAAAGAAATTTCAAGAACGAAGCAGAAGTGAGAACAGAGTAATTAGGAGCGAGGAAGTGCGTTCTTATGAGGAACGTAGGATGGATAGTCCTCGGGATAGTAAGAGATCTAATGATCTTGAAGAACGGTCACTAGAAAATGGAGTAAACAGAAGACGAATCTTGGAAAAGTCAACAACCTATGAAGAAAGTATTATAACGAATAGAAATGGTGAAGATATTTCTACGAGAAAATCAGTGAATAATAGGGTAGAAAATTTTAGTCACTCTCAGGATGAAAAAATGAGTGATAGACAACGACGAGAATTCGAGAAGAGGAATGAAAAAAATAAGACTAATGAAATTTTTATTTCTAAAAATAAGAAAAACATTGAAGAACTCACAGGGACGAGGTCAGAGAGCCCTGCAATGTTACAATCACGAGATAGAATGGAGGCTAGAGGTCAAGGCTCTGGTCAAGAGAGTACACCAGAGCCGCCGCGGGGCAAGGAAAAGAAAGTCATAGAAAATAGAAAAAAGAGATTAGACGTGAAAGAAGAGAACAACTACAGAGACAATGAGAAGAGATGGTCAGAAGGGCCGATTAAGACTGAAAAAATCCAAATCAAGTCTTACGAAAAAAACATCATTAGAGAGACGAAAGAAATAGAGGAAAAAAATTGGAATTCAAGCAACGGGATTTCTTCCAAGCCAAAAGAAAATTCAAAAGCATTTTATCTACAAAACAAAGAATATTCTAAATCACACCAAAATTTACACAGTGATTTAGATGAGGCTAAAAATCAGCATGAAGATATTGCGTTAAAATTACGTCCCACATTGCCGAAAAAACAGCTAGAGATACCGAGATTTTCGCCATCTGCTGCATGGAGATTATTATCTGCTTTAGAAACGCCTGGGCCAAATATGAGCACAGCAAGCGAAGAAGTTCCAGTGATGTATGAAGAAAGGATTGAGAGAATGTCTAGACCACCCCGCCCGTTAATTGCCTTGGGTCCAAGAAGTTCTCATGATAAATCTGGAGATTCCGGGGTTTCTTGTGATGCTGGTGCTCCAAACGAAGGTTCTCCTGATGTCAGTGCGCACAGATCAAAGACTCAAACAACCAGACCCACATGGACGCCTCAACAAGATTTAGGAGAAGAATCTAGCAGCGATGCTGGTGTTGATTCTCCACCACCAATGCCTCCAGGCGCACGATTCCCACCAAGAGCTCATATATTTTCTCTTTCATTACCTCGAGATGATAATCGTCACTGTGTTTATACTCCTGAAAAAAGTAAAGACAATACTTCCTTTAATTCACTGCAGAAAATTAAGAGATCAGTATCTGGTGCTTTTGGATTGGGCAATGGAGAGTTTGAAAGAAAACATTCTGGAGAAACTCTTGATGATAATTGGCTATTATCTACTAGTGCTCCAACATCTTTACAGCACAATCAAGTGAATCAAATGAATCATCGAGAAACTGGAATCAATTCCTCGCCTGCTTGGGACACAAATTATCCTGCAGAAGACTTTGAAGATGAGACTCTAGACTATCCGGATGAAAAAGCTGATTTTCCTGTTGTGATGAAGCCACCTTCTTTCTCTTATCTTGCCTCTGGAGGACATGTCATGTATTTACCTGCATCTAATGCCACTGAGCATCGAACTCAAAGTCTGAATTATAAAAATTCCGCTGGAGAAATTTGTGGTAAATTGAACAATTTAGATACAAAAAATAATAAAATATCAGAATTAAATAAAAACATTAATAAAGCAAATGAATTTATTAATGGGTTCAACAACGGATTTCACAATAAATTTTCTTCAGAAAAATCGAAAGAATCGTTGAACCTTTATAGGGAGAGGTCATTCACAGAATTAGGAAATAAAAATAAAAAATATTCCAACTTTTCGAAATCTTGTGAAAATATTTCTGAAATGAAGCAAAGAAGTTCTTCTCCAGTTAATGGTCCAGAAAGTTTACAAGATAAGAAGAATGACACGGAAAATGTCAAAGTCACCATAAAACCAAATCCAAAAGGCAAGAGATTTACGTTCCAGTCTACTGTAAGACAAATAGAGCGACGTAGATTGGCTGAAAAACTTTCTCGTGAGGCTGAGGCTAAAGAACGGCAGAGAAAGAGCGAGCTTGAGGCAATGCGGAAGGTCGAAGAAGAATTTCAAAGAAAGAGAGCTAAAGAAAAAGCTAATATTAGGCAACAGCTCAGACTTTATAGTATGGATGAAAATTCTAGGTAGTGTAACACTATTTTATTCAATAAATAATTAAAATAGTAAAATAAGAATTGACTTAAAAAAAGTACAATTTAAAAATAATTTTATTTTTATTTAAAATTTTAGCAGTTTACCTCCGCCATCAGACAGTTCTCATATGTCTCGTGCAGATCCAGATGGTGCTCCATCTTCATCAGCCTCATCTCCAACTTCAGCACCACCCGGAAAGCTGATAAACAATCGGAAAGGCAGTGTCAGCAGTGATGAATATCACAGAAAAAAAGAATGCCGTGTTCAGCAGAAGCAAGAGCCTAGAGAGTACAAGGATTACCGACCAAAATATTACGATTGGGCACCAAATACCGAGTCTTCTTCACATCTCGAGGTCAAGCAGACTACGGTTCATCCAAAGATTGTATGTGACATTCCTAAGAGCTCTCACGTATTCGTTGATGCGAATATTCACACAGGGAAACATGCCAATTTAAATTCTACACCTCGTTCAGATAATTACAGGTATGTATAATTTTCACATTTAATTGAACCTACATACTTGTCATTAATTATTGTTGACTAATCTTTTTTCTGTGTATTAATAGGAAAGATTTTGCGCACGGCGCAGTAGCTGCAAAATCATCATTAGCAAGTAGCGATAGTGAATTGTCACAACCAAATACTCGACCACATTCTCGACAAAATGGAAATAAAAATAGTAAACCTATTCGTTCTAGGTATGGATAAAGTACTTATTGGAAGATAAAAATTGCTTTATAGTTTTGATACCAAAGACATTTAAATGTTTGGAATTTAAAGTGGGTTAAATAATTATCTAGCTATCTATCGATTAATTTATTGATCAATCTACTAAAGTAATGTATCTAGCGTCTACAGTTCAAACATTACACAAGCTGAGTTGTTGAACTACAATAACTTACTCTGAATTCAAATCGTAATAATGCCTCAAGCATGTTGCATGGTCCAATAAATTTTCTCTCGTCTTGGTTTGACTTATTGACTCAACTGAAACGTTTACGTACGTTAAAATATGCTACAATACTTATTTTTTTAAATTTAATCCATTGATTGAATTCAAATAAAAATTGATGAATTCTTTGAATGAACAAAAATGGCAATAAAATCTGAATTATTCAGAAAATCCTCCCGTAAATATTCCTGCAATTATTCCGCTAATTCTATGCTTTTTATTTTTTATTCTATGCAGGTTTTAAGGTTGGCGTAAAGTAAGTAGTCCTAACACCTCTAGTCATCTAACAACGCTTCATTAAAACAAAAAAAAACATTATTTTATAAATTTATATGAGTGAAATGATCACTCGCTTTTATAACTACGCCTCCAGATCCTCAAATAACAGATTTAACTTCATGGAAAACAACTTTAATATCATTAAATCAAGGCAATGGGACATTTAATGAAGAAGCTAGTCCAGTTGATCATGTAATTTTATATGAAAAAGTAATTAATTGAATAATACACATATTCATACTAAATAACAATAGGGAAGAAGCTTTATCATCGAAGGCTGAAACAGAACAAGAAGAAAAAACAACGTTAACTAGGTCAGTCAGTTCAGCAAGAAGCTCTGAAGTTGCCAGCTCTGAAGAAGAAACACCTGTGGAAGCTATTCAACAGCAACGTAATCATGTGAATATGAACAACGGTTTTATTTTAAATGCTGTTCAGCCGTTTGTAAGAGAAAAAAGTTATCGGCCTATTACTTTCAATCCTCAGCCACCACCACCAATTCCTAGCTAATCAATCAACTAATTAATTATATTATTATTAATTAAATATATTCATACAAAGTCATAAATCTATCATAATGTACCTAATTCTTTAGATTTAACAGTAATAATAATAGGTAATAGGTCAGATAAATCATTTAGGTACGAAAAAATTAATATTCATAGAAAAATATATATATATATATATATATATATATATATTTTATTACTGGAGTAATAATGTTTAATTATTCAAACAATTTGTATTTAATATGATGCGTGTTAGAAATGAATTGATAATAAGCGAGGAGGTGAAATAGTTATGGAAAATGATTGTAAATATATATTCTTTGTGAATTATTTTGTTTTCGAAGGAAAAATAATAATTCAAAGAATCATTGATGACCTCAAGAATTTTTATTTTTACTCAGGAACTTGAATAATGTTTAGAAATGTATAAAGCGAAATTTTTTCAGTATTTTTTTCGTTCATGAAATATGTCAGGTTATTATTTGTTTATTCTAGAAATGAAGATGCCAAATTATACATTAATTGCGATGATATTATTTAAAATGTTGCCTCCGCGCGATATATTTCAATTAATTGTACATTAATTAATTATTTAACATATTTAGTATCTTAGTTTCTAACCAAATGTGTTCTGTACAATGTTTGCATATTTTCACAAAGTATTTAATATTAATCATTAAAACCTAACAAATTTTCAATCAAAGAATTTTAGTCTTCATATCAATAAACTACTCTCAATCAAGTCGAAAAATTTATGCTAACGATTTTTGTATTACTAAATTTTTTAATGTTAATAATATTGATTAATACCACATTTATAATGTTACAAAACAAGGTATAGGGAAAATATTTTGTAATTATGTACAGGCAACAAACTCGAAATTTGCTCATTTAATGTAATCAAATAAATGAACTTTGTTAAATAACAAAATCTCAAATTTATTTTCAATTTCCCGCAATTATTATCTTTTACACCTAACGCCCTCTTCCTGTATAATTCGAATTGTTTCTCCTATTTTCATTTACAATTAAACATAAACAATTTATTTTGTTACGAAAAGAAAAACAAAAAAATAAATAAATTTGATTATTACAAAAATAGAAATAAACCGTAACAATGAGTAGTGAACAATCAAGTGAAGGAAATGAAGTTGGGGTACCTATTCAGTATGTATCAATATAATTTATTTATTTATTGAATCAACAAAAAACATTAATTCGTGAACAAATATTATTTATGGTTAGAAATTTAAAACCGTCTGAATGGGAATCACTGTTAGATTCTTCATCAAGTGAAGAAGAAAATTTAATAGAAACTGAGTCTGGTGAAAAAGAAAATAAAGATCCAACAACATCAGACACGTTTCCTGTCACTCCTAGAACTTCAGATAAAACTGATGATACTGATTTTGTTTGTTTTTTCATATTTTCTAAATATCCATTAATTCCAATAATTAAACGGTGGTCGTAACTAGAGCTATTAATATTTTTAGATTATTTTATCTTTGACATGGGCAAAAAGTGTTCTTGGTGCTGCTTATTACAACATGACAACATCGGAATTGTTTATCATGGAAGATACTGTTGAAGATGGATTTAGTTATAACATTACAAAAGTTCTATATCGACAAATTCAACCACGTTACGTTCTCATAATAAATGGTACACCTGAATCATTTATTAATGTCATAAAAAAGATAATTGTAGAAGATAGAACTGATGAGGAAGATCAATCTTCTCCATCAAACTCTTCATATGTTAACCGAATGGCTGGAGCTGTATTAAAATTTTTACCTAAAAATGACAACACTTATGAGAATTGCTTTCATCGTGTTCGATGTTTAAAATTGGAATGTGAACCAGAAAATGCTTCTAATGCAGAGAGAATAATTTTTTTAAATTCTCTATTTAATTTTAAATCATGTTTAATGATTCAAGCTTTAGGAGTTCTTTTGCGATATTTAGATGAAAATTGGAATAGATTATCTTTAAATCCATCAGGACAGGCCCAATTCGTTACAATTAATACGATAAAGCTTAAAGATTTAGTGATGATTGAAGAAAATACTTATAGAATATTAAATATTATTCGATCAAGATTTCATCCCAGTTTATTTAAACATGGAGTATCATCCAAAAGTCAAGGAACAAGTCTTTTCACATTTTTAAATCGATGTCAATCACGTGCTGGTTCTCTTTACTTATGGTATGTATTTCAAGATTTAAAAAAAATCGAGTACATTCAAAGAATATTTTTTCAATAAGAAATAATTGTATAGGAAATTGATGAGACATCCAACAAGAAATATTGAAATTCTTCATGACCGTCATCGAGCTATTGAATTTTTTTTGCATATTGATAATCAAAATGTTATTGAGACTATGAAGTCATGTTTAAGACAAGTTTATCGTGTCCCTTCATCGGTACTTAATAAATATTCATCAACACAAGCCAAAGCAACAGATTGGAGTCGATTTAATACGGTTATTATTCAGAATTTACTATCATTTTTACAATTTACATAAAGCTGACATTTATTGATAGCAATTCATCCTGTTTATTACAGACTTTATCAAATGTTATTCATATTTCTGAAATTTGTTCACAATATCGAAATGTAGCATCTATCTTTGGTAAAATAGCTGATTCTGCCATCGAAGGGATTCATTACACTCGTTACTTTATTGATCATATAATAGATTTTGAAATGAGTAAAAAACAAAGGAAATTTATTGTAAAAGCTGGTGTTGATACTAGACTTGATGAGCGTATGTTTACATCAATTTAAGTATCATGTATTTAACTCAATTCAACTATTAAAACATTTCTTTTCTACAGTAAATCATATAAAACGAACACTCCCACAACGATTAACAGAAGCTGCAACGAAAGAATTAGAACATTTGCCGGAGAATGTTGAAACTTGTCGTATAATTTATGTGCCTGATATTCAGTATTGTTTAGGTATTACTTCGTGGACTGGTCCTCCACTCGAAGATGAAATGTTACCTAATTTGGAATTTAAGTTTGATATTAATAATGTTCGGTATTATAAGAGTCAAGGAACAAAAGGTTAGTTGGATAATATTTCAACCTTCAACATAAAATAGAATAATAATCTAATATTATATTACATTATTTGACTTTCGCTTGTAGAATTAGATGAAGAAATAGGTGATATTGCCCTTGAAATAACACGTCATCAAAGTCAAATAATGCTGAGACTGATAAATTATGTAAATAAAAATATTGGAGCAATCTTGCATCTCATCGAATACTGTGCTGAGCTAGACACGTAAATTTGTTATTTAAATAAGTATAAAAATAAGAGATGATTTTAAAAAAACGTCTATTTTTGCTAGGCTTCTATCATTTGCCCAGGTGGCTAGAGATCATAACTATGTAAAACCAGAAATAATCAAAGCTCATGTGATTGATATTAAAGGTGGTCGTCATCCTTTGACAGAATTACATGGAAATTTCGTAGCAAACGATACATTTTCCGGAAATGAAGGAAGCCTAATAAAAATTTTTACCGGTCCTAATGCATGTGGAAAAACTGTATATTTGAAACAAGTAACTTTACTTGTTTATATGGCTCACATTGGATGTTTTTTACCTGTAGAATCAGCAACAATTGGTGTTGTTACTCATATCTTGACACAAATACCAACCATTGAGAATAGTTCTCAAAATGCAAGTTCATTTCTTATTGATTTGCGTCAAGTGCATAATATTCTCTATTCATCAACACCAAACAGTTTGATTATAATGGATGAATTTGGAAAAGGTACTGCTGAAATAGATGCATTAGCACTGTTAACTAGTATTTTGCAAAGCTTTATCGATCGAGGAAAATACTGTCCTCATGTTTTTGTTGCTACTCATATTCATCGAGTTATTGAATTACTATCTGAAATACCTATTGTCGAAGCTCAGGTAAAAAATATTAAAATAATCATTATACTCAAGTTTCAACAAATTTTTTATTATTTATATTATTATAGACGTTTGAATTCATGTTAAGCGAAAATGATACGCTTGTATTTCTCTATCGATTGATTTCTGGAAATGTTACTTATAGTTTTGCTCATGCAATCGCTCAGAGTGCTAAATTATCATTGAAAATAGTTGATAGAGCTAAAGAAGTGTTTCAATATATGAAGGACGGAAAATTACCTCCTTATAAACCAAAACTCAATGAACATAATGCGTAAGTAACTCAATTTTAATAAAATTGATTTTATGAATATTTTTCCTTTCTATAAGCAAAGTTTTAAATTATAATATGATTTTTTGTAGAATTAAATACATTGTAAATAATTATCAAGATGAACCAGAGAATGCAATTAATTTGAATATACTCCAGCAAAAAATTGAGCAAGCAATACTTGAGAGGCATTAAAATTATCGTGATTTTGTTCAAAAATTATTTTTATTTATTTTGTTAATTAACGTTCTATTAAAATTAATAAAAAACTTTTTGTTAGATACATGTTTAGTGAATTTAATAGAAGTTTTCTGATAAAATAAAAGTTATTTCAAAAAATGTATTTACATGTAGAGACCTCTACAATTTTTATACTAGAGGTCGTAACGTACATTATCCAAAATAGATTAATGCTACATACGATCAAATTCAATCATCGTTAAAATCACTGCAATCTACTTTTAATTAAGAAATTATGCATAATAAATTACTAATTTTACAAAAATGAGTCGACAATCACATTCTTTTAAAGCTTCTTTATCTACCGCAGCTAAATATAATATTCTCATCAAAAACCAGCAGAAGCCGAAAAAAATAGTAGGCTCACCTGTAACTAACAAATTCTTTAAATCTAGTATTTCATCTTTGCCTCTCAAACCAATTATGAATAAATCAACTAATAAATCAATACAATTGAATAAAAATGAAGTAAATCATAATGGAATTATTTATTCAGAAGATGTAAGTCGTAAAAAATTGAAACTTGATGAAAATCGTAGAAAAAAGAGATATTCTGCTTCAAACAGTAATGAAGACTTTTTAGAAAATTTAAAGAAAAATTTTGATAAAGAATCTATGAGGTACGTAAAGTTTTTAAATTATTTTTCATACTTACTATTGTTCTGATATCCAATTTATTTAATTTTAAGTCAACCTGTATTGGAAAAAGATATTCAGATCAAACACAAATTACCACGTAGAAAAAAACCGTTATTTAATGATGAGAGTTTGAATTTGATGGACAATTTTAAAAAATATTTTAAAAGTAATATTTTACAAGATTTATCTGATAAAACAATTTCGGGCATGTCAAATATAAATAAATCCAACACAACAGGAAATCAAGAAAATGTTGATTATCAAATCGATACACCTGAAAAAAATCACAATTCCTTTGGTTTTCATTATCACACTCCATCCAGGTACTGTCATCGATATTAATATTCATTTTTTACTATTCTATACACACCAATAAATCTATATTCATTCAACGGATTTAACCCTGAATATAAGTTATTGAATAAATAAATATTTACTTACGTGATAATCGTTCATTACAATTTACTTATTTAAATATTTTAGTGAAACGGAAATGCAAAATATGTTTTCACCTTTACGAACATCTGACTCATCATTTAGAAGTAAAACATCAATGTCGGAAAATATGATCGACCATACAGATCAATTAAGCAGTCCAGAACTTCCTCAGGTCGATATTTTGAGTTTTCAATATGCTCATCATTCTGGTGAACACAATGTTAAAAATTCGAATTTTCTATCATACTTTAAATGATTGAAATATAAGTTATTATCAATTTTGATAAATCATTTTAACTTTAGAATATTCATGTATTTATTAACTAATTGTTAATAATCTTTAATTCATAAATCTTAGAAAAGCTTAATAATTTATAACATAAAAACTTAATGATGTTTAATATTGGTGTTATATAATAAAATAATTAATCTTCCTTAATATTGAGATGGTTTTTATTTGACAACATATATTTCACAAATTATCCTAATCTTAAGTATAGAAGAATAAAATAATGTTAGGCCATTTCACTAATGTGAATGATTTTCATGATTAATTTTCTGTACATTTAATTTTTTGCATTTAAAAAAGAAATTATTTATCACTCAAATATTTCATAATCTGTTAAGAACACTTTGGATTTCCCTGAGTCTGTTAATTAATTCATTACCATTAGATTTGCTGAAAAGTGTCGTAAGACATTTTGAAATCACATCCTGACACTTTGTGATAATTTTTCTTCTAATAAAATTATTAGCAACTTTTGAGTTCTTTGTAAAATAGGTTACAAGATTGGCAGTAGATTCAATTAAATGGAATTCATTTCCTTCATTTAACCAAATTCGATTATTTCCACTAACTAATTTATCATAATAGTCTAAGAGGTCTTCCATAGAAATTCCTAATTGTAAGAAACCAGTGATAATATCTGTGTTAGGGACTTGAAGTCTACATGCTCTAATCTCTAATTCTTTTATAAGAAAGTCTGTAGGGAAACAATGAGGTGTTCCTGAATATTCTTGGCCTAACATTTTAATTTTACTCATAACAATAGACATCTTATCTTCAGGAGACTGAGTTTGAACATTATTCAATTCATTATCTATAATTTTAGTCCATATTCCTTGAACCAACATAGCATCTTGATGTCCAGAACAGTGAATAATCGCTAACTTGCACTCCCAAAGATTTAGAGGATCAGCATAGTCTTCGTACAATTGAGTAATGTCCAACAGTGAAGAATTGAGTCTTAATTTTGCGTCCCGCACAGTCATAGTATTATACAAATTTGCTTGATTGCAGATTGTTTCAAGAATTTGTTGCTGGATCCTCGCAATTTCAACTTTATCTTCTAGTTCTCGTAAGAAAACTCCAAGATAAGGAGCGTAACCAGCTTGATCACTTCTCATACAAACGACAGCTCGAGCTAGATATTCGACACGTTGAGAAAGTGATACATCAGATCCAGGTTTAGTAGCCAAAGCATCAAGGATCTTTGCTGCAGCTGCGTGATTTTTATTTCGTTCATAAAATTGCCATAACAGTTCAGGTGCATTAACACGAATGAGATAAGCTTCCAAAGAGGGTGCAGCTAGAGCTACCAACTCTCCATGTAGATTTTTTTCAATCATCCAGGTATACACTGATGCATGAAGTATTTCACAAGGACTGTGAAGAGCATCTTCGATGATTTCATGAAGCTAAAATATGAAAAATAATTATTATTACTTCCATAAGGATTATTGAATTTATTTAATATTTATGATCTTGTATACTTACAATCTGTTTAGCCGGTATGACAGTAGTCGTTGAAGTATTATAAGTTGGTGGACCCGGTTTACTGGGTACGGTTGGTGTTAGAGGATTAGATATACTCTGATTATATAAGTGATCCAGCATAGCAGTAATTTCTCTGTAAATATCTAAACGCCGAGTATATGCCATGAATCCTTCGTGATCTTCTGGTGGCTCATTATTTTTATAATAGTGTAAAGCAGCATTATTAGGGTCGCTTTTTTCCGCACAACAGAGACAAAGTTCTAAAACACCAGTATAAAATTGACAAGCTACAAATTGTTGACATACAGCAGAGAAATTTAATCTTGGAGCCACCATTTTACAAAGTTTCAGAGCAGATTGAAGATGTATTTCTTTTTCTTCAGCGTTTGTGCAATTTTTGGCTTTCAAAATAATTTCGTTTGCTTTGGAGCATACAGCATCTTCACTTTTGTATAGATTTGGACAAACTTCACGTAATTTGGCACTCACTGTGTCTACAGACGCATTGTCTCCTAAATAGCTGTCTATTAAGTGGATAATAAGAAGAGATGATATTTCGTGTCCGATAAGAATTAAATCTCTAAAAGTGGCAGTAGAAAATTGATTAATTTGGTCCTTAGATAAACAACTAACAATATTATGTAGCTGATTTTCACATAAGATCTTCCAGAGACCCAGAACTTCACAGGCATGAGTAATAAAAATTTTCAAAGCATCCAATGAATTTCTTTCTTCAACCATTGGCTCTTGGTGATAAGAAATTGTCCAATCAAAACCGTCTGTAATATTTTTAGCTGTATTGTGATGTTTAGAAATATGCGTATTTTTATTCAAAAATGATCTTAGTGCTTGTAGATGTCCTAGAATCCAACCAACTTGAATTGAACCTATAGTACTTGATATCTGCGTTTTATTATCTACAATTTCTTGTTTAATACAACGAATGTTCCAAATAGGTCTTAAAATTCTTCCCACATACAGATATAATCCTCCATGCTTAGCAGAAAATTCTTGAAGACCAGTTTCGTTCATTGTATGAGGCTGATGAGGTGATCGATACATTCCTAGACGTGGATCAAAACTAGTAACTCGCGGAGTTGATGTACAAACATTATTCATTCCATGAATATCATGTTGGGTTATAGTTCGTTGACTTCCATAAAGGAAGAAGGCTCTTGTTGCCCATTCAGATAACTGAGCATTTTGTGTGCTTTCCAGTGTTGCTAAAATTAAACAAGTGGCACAGGCTTGTTCAGGAGTTTGACTTTCAAAATAAGCTCGAACTAAATCAGTATCTGGACCACGTTGCTCCAAAAGTAATTGTCGGAGAATATCAACGGGACGTAATTGAACGAGAATAATAGCTCCCTGAGCGGTGAGAAAAATGAATTTTCTTGGAGGTTCCATATGTTGACGAACTAAAAGAGGTGGATCACCTTGATTATTGGTAGATTGTTTTTCTATATAAATTGCTGGTTCTCCGGGAATCTCGGCCATTGCCCAAGCAGGACTATCGAATGGCAAAATACTTTGGGTTTCCGCAAGATGATTTGTGAAAGGATATGCATCATTACTAAGACACCAAGCAGTTTCTACATCACCTCCACAAACTAAAATCAAGGTTCCTTTTTTGTAATGAGCCATTTGAACCTTCCGTGGTCGCATGACAGGTGCATTTGCTGCATAGCCGGGAGGAAGACGTACATGAACCAGTTGAAGACATTGCGGACGAGATCCAGGATTAGTTATAGATGTACAAGTAAAGTAGAATCTTGTACCTGTTGCAGCAACGGCTACAAGATTCAAATGGATGGATTCTGTTTCGGTAATGGCAGAAATGCTAACTAAGGGTCTGAAATTATTACTATCGAGAGTTTTAACAACATGAACTGCATTTTGGACTAGTGATGCTTGAGATAAAGAGGTAATTTTAGAAGCTCCACTGTCTATATCCCATACCATAATTGTTCCTTTATCTCCAAGAGTATATAATATATTTCTGGAATCATCAACGGATATTTGAACTATAGCTTCTTCTTCAGAAAGTGCAATAGAGACGAAAGATGGCACTAAGAAAGATAATGGTCCTTCTGAATGATTGATTTTCTTACAGCGTTTACCAAACCAAGTACTTTCTGCTTGATAATGAATTTCATACAATGAACCATTTCTTCCTCCTAAAAATATTCGACCACTGTTAGTATTTGCCACTGTGGTAATTGCTATTCCATCAGTTGTTACAGTAAAAATTGGTTCAGGAACTAGCTGCATCTCTCCTTGAGTTCCATCGTTTTTTTCCATCATTGTAACACCGAGAACTGTAATTTCCACTGTTGTTGTAAGAACCAATAAATACTTGACATAGCTTTGAAATATTCCAGGTTTAGGTTTTACTAAACCGACACTAATAATTGTTTCATTAAGACCATCAAAGTAAGCAACATCTGATTCATCTTCGTAAGACCACACATAAATATCACTGTCAATTGTTAACCAAGCTTTAGAGATATCAGTAAAAAGGCCCATCATGCAGTGACATTGCATATGACTAAAATGCTCCATTACTTCTGAAGGCAATGGTATTTTACTGTGCATTTTCATTTGATTTAAACTCGTTAAACTCATCATATTACTGTTCAAATTTGGGTAATCGTAGTCGTCTAATCCACTCACTGTGGGACCACCTAGAAGGAAATTCAAGTTTTTATGATCTTTCTTTTAATCATCTGATCAAATTCAATTTGTTGATTCTATATTTAAAAATCTATTTCTTACCTTGAACAGAATATCTCATAAGATTTATCAATGAAGGGAAATTACTATCAACAACAATGTGTTTATCGACCATTTTCCCAGCCATTTCGAGGGCATCTAAGTGAATTTTGAGTGACTCCATGGCTTAAAGTAAAATTTTATTAAAAAATACTTCACGTTAATTCAATTGTATAAATTATTTATTATATTTTCTCAACGTAATTTAAATATGAGTTTTTGTAGGTTATGTTACAAGTCTCAAGATAAAAGACAGGACTTACTGACTTGAAAAAAAGCTCTCGTTAACTCAAATTCAACACTAAAAATGTAACTACTGTACACACACTTTATAAACTTTAATTTATTGCAAAAATGTAAATTATATTTAGTATTAGCCGTAAAAAAGACGTCACGGCTTAGTATTATTACTTTCCGGCTTACCGGAGACCGTTACGTGATTTCGCGCCATAACCTAAAATTCCTTTCATTTTTAAATTGCCCGCATTTTAAAATATAGAGGACAGGTCAATTGTTGTTCAGCCATGCCTCTACAGTTAAGAGTATGAACTAAATGCTGTCATATGATCGAAGGTAGATGAATGAAATCTTGTGATCTTGGGTTAGGAAAAATAATAGAATATAAATTTTACTTATTATTTATCAAAGAAAGTTAATAAAATGTTGAAATTAATATTTATTATAACATTAGTGTTAGCTACAGGTAATAATCAATAAATATATTATATTATGTCACACATTTTTTTCGAAAATTGGTGCATGTCAATAATTTTTTGGTTTTGACAAGTGGGTGTGGCGATAATGATTATTTTTACATGTAGAATAAACAAATTAATTGTCAATTATTCTATTCTTATTTATAGTATTTGCTGATAAAGATTTCGTCGTTCTTCATAGTCCAAGTAGTCTTGAAGTTGAAGGTGGCAAAGCCATCAATCAGAGTCTACTGAGAGAAGTTCTAACTGGAGTAATTGGATATCGTGTCAGAGAAGTAAGCAATAATTTAATATTTTTATACGTTGATTATCTATAAAAATTTCATCGGATCCATAAAACTATAGAATATTAGAACAATAAAATTAGCTTATCTTAATTCTATAATAAATAAAATGTAAGGATATAAAAATGAATTCATTATAATATTCTTCTGAAAGTTATATGTAAGAATATAAAAATGAAGAATATAAAACGATTCTATAATTTATATGTATAATGAAGTTTTATTTTAAAGTCTAATTCCATATCATAATAGTCAAAGATTTCTAATTAATTTAATGATTTTTCTAATAATTTTAAGCACGATTGGAAAGGAGTTTATATCAAAAACATTTTCGATTTACCTGAAGCAGTAGTCATTATTGCTATTGAAGATGTTGAATCAGTGAACTCTCCTTACGGTACACGATTTCCTCTATATGTTGATGAACTTGAAGAGACAACTTGGCAAGTAGTATGTCGTGTAGTTGAAGGAAATAGAATGAACAACACATTAATCAGAATGCGTGTTGGAGATGGTCTTACTGCAGTTAGTATAAAAATGATTAATAAAAAAAATTTTCTTCCATTATTATTACTTTAATATATCAATTTATTATTATTATTTTTTAGTTGGGCCACTCAGCATTGGGTGAACTGAATCCCAATTCAATCGATAAACCAGTGTTGAAGTATCTAGACTTAGAAAATAATGTTGATAGAGATTTTATTGAAGAAATTCAGTTACTTCGAGCAATTGCCAAAAAAGTTCCATCAACAATTATTCCTAATTCAAATCCTGATGTTTATTGGTTCGTCGTATGCAATCTTCGACCACTTATTGATAGTCATAAAGACACCCCATTAGCTGTTGATGAAGCTTTCCGTATACTTAATGAGGCTTTAGATGATCTTTCTGTCTCATTTGTAGATGCTTATAAGGGAAATGTTTTTATTGCTGCATTTACAAGTGATACGAATGCAGAACAGAATGATGAATCAGAAACAAGTATACGAGTTCGTAGAGAAGAACAACAGGTAAAAATTTGTCTAATATTTTTTTCATTTTTTATCAACAAACATTATTTTCTTACAATTAAAAATACAATTTGTTCAGGAGAAATCCGATTCATCTACAGAAAATCCTAGAGATGCGACATCATCATCAGAAACAATAGAGGTAATAAATATATTGCATGATGGTTTTTTTCAAGTTATTTACTAAAAGTTCATATTTAAACATTATCTCGTTGGAGTATATGTAATTATTAGCATGACGAGAGAGCACCAATTTACCTAGTAACGCAAATAACTTATAAAACATAGGAATCTAGTTCCCTTGGGCTTTATAAACTAACTCCCAATCAATGATGACACATTTTGTAGAATGAAGAAACTAACAAGGATGTGAAAATGACCACTGAAGCAACTGAGAGTAGTAAAAGTGATGTGAATGAAAACACAAATGAAATAGAAAAATCCTCAGAATCAAATAATGATGAAGTAACTGAACTTCCTGGTCTCGAGTTGAACCATCGGGAACACGAGGTTCACTCAATGACCGAAAGTGAAGTCATTAAAAAACCAATTCAGGTACTGTAGGTGGTAAAAAGTAGTCAATTAACCCTTATTTTATGATTCCTTGATAAAATATTATGTAAGTTGAAAGCAAAAAAGAAACGTTTTGTTTCTTACTGGCGTTACTAGTTTATTTATTGCACTTTAATGTTTAATTTGATTTATGTCTTTTATCTTTTAATTTGTTTTTAATCATATTTTTATAGCATGAAGAATGTTCATTTATTTTGTAATTGTTTATTGATTTAATGTTTTAGTTAAATGATTATTTTTGAACAATATTTTGAGTTATTTTTTGTATTTCAGCTCAAAGACGCGAACCTCGCTAAAAAGTACAGTGCTAACTATCCAGTTATTTTCAACATATTCCTTTGGTTTGGCGTAACTTTCTTGTTTTCACTTATCGCCATTTGCAGTAAGTGTAGTTAACTAATTTCTTCATTTTAAGATTAAAGTCCAACAAGTTACATAGCATTATATACACTATTTTCCTTGAGTCCAATTCCATCACTAATTTCACGCTTGGAAAAAAATTACATAATTTCCTTCAATTAAAAAAAAATATTAATTCCATTGCAAGAATAAATACTCTGGAGTTTGATAAATTATTAGTTAAAACAAGTTTACATATTGAAAAGTTAAACATTAATTTTACTGTTAATTCCAATATAAACTCATAAATTGTACGTGTGACATTGTATGTCGTGAGACAGTCTCCTGTTTGATAAGAAATAATTTATAAACTAAAAATCCGATTCACGTATATAAGAAAAAAAACTTGTTTCGATTTTAATTGAAAAATTATCAAAAAAAATTCTTTAAAAATTCCTTTGATTAATCCGTTCATTTTATTGCACTAGTTGCCATCGCAGAGATGGATCCTGGACGAGACTCTATTATCTACAGAATGACTTCAAACAGAATGAAGAAAGATAATTAAGTTTACAAAGATTTGTGAGAATAAAGATAAACTTAACATTCATCATTTGTCCTTGTTTTTCGTAATATGAAAGCGAAACGTCTAGATTATAGGTGTAGTTTACTCTTGTTGTACATTTGAATCAAGTGATTCTATAGTAGAATCCCATTATATATCTTGTAAGATACACGTTTGTGATGTATGTAGAAACATTTATAAAATATTTCACCGTTGAAATTCTGTATGAATAATTGTAAAAAAAAAACAGCATAATTTTACATATTAAGTTGTACAATACGTGAGTGAGAATATTGCTCATTTTCATCATAATTCAGTGTGATTCATTTAAAATTTATCTTAAGTGGAGTTGAATTATTGTGTAAACAAGTATTTTTATTTTTTAGTGATATATCATTATTAATTTAATGATGATTTAGCGATTATTGATGATAAATTAAGAGTTTTAATTTGATAAAATCCATAATATAGATTACTCGAAAATATATATTTGTTGCATTGTTCAATAATTTAACTACCAATCATGACACCGTCAGAAGTGACAGCTTTGATGTCATTAGTATTTCAAATAACTTCACCAAATCTTAATCAATCAGTTCCTTCTGAGTCTGTTGAACGTCCAATTAGCTACAATGTAAATTACTCTGATCCTGAATTTGTTGGAGGAAAGTTACATGAGTGTTACAGAAATTGTGGTAATGAAAGCCGCACATGTTACTACACTTTTATACTTACTCAATACACGTCAATGAGCTACAGTTGTCATGATTGTCCCTATAAAAAGGAAGATTGTTTTTTACCTCCTTGTATCACTGCCGGAGGATATATTCGACCAGTGACAGTAGCAAATAAAATGCTTCCTGGACCAAGTATTCAGGTATTAATCATACGACAAATGATTTAAATTAATTTCAGATAAAAAAATTAAGATAAATTTTTTAAGGTCTGTGAAGGTGATAAGATACACGTGACAGTAATAAACGAATTCACTAGTGAATCTACAACAATTCATTGGCATGGTATTCATCAGGTTCATTCCCCATTCATGGATGGTGTTCCTTTCGTCACTCAGTGTCCAGTATTACCACACAATAATTTTGTGTATCAATTTACTGCGTCTCCTGCAGGAACTCATTTATGGCATTCTCATATCGGTTTGTTTAATATTGAAACTTTATCTTGTTTCTTAGTAAACTTTTATTATTAGTCAATATTGAGTAATTAATATCATGATTAATTTGTTGTTCTTGAATGATAGGGTTTCAAGAAGCAGATGGGTTATTCGGAAGTTTAGTCGTAAGAAAAAACAATGATCCAATGAAGAAATATTATGATTATGACTTAGCAGAACATGTTATGATAATTTGGCATTGGTATAATGTTTCTACGTCTTTCGTACTCCCTACAATTTTACATAAGTATGGTAGTGTTTATGGTCACGGTTTTATAATTAATGGGTTAGCAGCGAAGGTTCAATTTTCATCAGACAATGCTTCTACTTACACACCTACTGCAGTTTTCAATGTTACTTCAGTAAATATAAAAATCTTCATTATGTAATTTAATAAGTGTATTGAGTTTTTATATTATTATCTACTTCTAGGGGAACAAATACCGATTTCGAGTGATATACAACAGTCCAATTTATTGTCCAATTCAAATGTCTATTGATAATCATCGATTGTTAGCAATTGCCTCTGAAACAGGAAATTTCAAACCAATTATGGTTGATTCTTTTAATTTGAATGGAGGTGAACGTTACGATTTTGTTCTTGATGCTAATCAACCACCTGGAAATTATTGGATAAAATTTAGAGGTGAAGGTGATTGTAATAAAAACGGAGTACAAATATTTGATGTTGCAATTCTTCATTATAATGATGATGGAGTGAAAAATGTACAACCAAACGGAACAGTTTTATATGCAGATACTGATCGACCTGGAGTGGTAAGGGTTACTTCATTGTAATTTATGTTATAATTAATTTAATTAATATTAAAAAATATTTTTCATCATTTTTAGATCTTAAATCCATTAGGTAATCTAGAATTAAATTACCAAAATCATTCATTAATCAAAGTTGTTGATCTAAATAATACAGACTCCAATGAACATGAAGATATTTCACGAACTCCAGATCACATATTTTACTATGAATTTTCCTTCAATACTTATAGTAAGTTGTATTATTGATAGCTAATCAAATCATTTTTTAAATTTATTTCTAATTATATTTTAGGTTCATACTTTGCACCGGGGCCATACCCACAAATAAATAATATCAGTTTTGAGTATCCTCCAATTCCATTGTTGACTCAATATGAAGAACTTAAAGATCACATGTACTGTACCGAAGACGATTATCGGAACAAACATTGTGTGGATGATTTCTGTAAATGTATATTAATTTATCGAGTGGCTAAAGACAGTTTGGTAGAAATGGTCTTCGTAGATACAGCTGATGACAGAGATCAAGATCATCCTATGCATTCTCACGGTTTAGCATTTTATGTGGTAGCTATGGAATCAATGGGAAAAAATGTTTCTTTAGTTGAGGTGAAACGTCGAAATGAGGAAGGTTTAATCAAAAAGAAGTTTAAAAATGCTATGTTAAAGGACAATATAAGCGTTCCAGCTAAAGGATTTGTTATTATTAGATTCATAGCTACGAATCCTGGATATTGGTTATTTCATTGTCATCTTGCCAATCACATGGAAATGGGAATGGATTTTGTATTGAAAATTGGTGAACATGAAGAAATGACACAAGCTCCAAAAGATTTTTCTAAGTGTGGGCATTCAAAGTAACAATTAAAAGTAACTTATTGATAAGATAAAGAATCAAATCATTAGAAATCTTCAATTAGGTTGGAAATTTATTTTTATTTTTACATTTTGAACAAAATTTAGTCTGTTATAGTAATTTTATTTTCACTTTCTTTCAATTATTATTATTATTAATATTATTTTTATTGAATTCCTTAAAGATAAAGACTGAAAATTAATATAATTCGTAAATTAGAAATTATTTTAAGGATTTTTTAAGTAAAATGTTAAGTTTTTGATTTCTATTTTAGTTTTTTTTAATGTCAACAAATTTTCCTGAATGCTTTAATAAAACTCTTGGTTAATAAATAATATATATTTTATTCATTTGATTAATTAAAATAATTAAAAATAATAGGAAATTTTTTGTATTCTTGAAATGGGCAGATGTGAGTTTACGGGTTTTCATTGGTTACTTGAAGGTGACAGTGTAGTGGTAGTCCTAAAACTAGAAATGTGTGAGTCTTATGTGTGGGTGTGGTTATGTTCATTTGTGAATGATGTCAAAGCATTAAAATAGATCATCTTTAGTCATTTGTGCAAAAAACTTAAGGTAAAAGTGATAAAACTGATTTAAATGACAGTAGAAAAGTAATTTCATTCAAGTATCTACACTTGAATAAATTATGTGCTAATTTATTCTTTTTTCTTTCTCTTCTCCTTGATATAACCATAAATACAAGATTTGTGTGGGCGCAGAATAAACGGGGTGGGACAGTGAATAAAAATATAGTTTTATTTCTACTTTATTCTTGTTTCAGAATCCAAGTGATTTTACAGCAAGCTTGAATAATTTAAGTTTTTTTAAATAAACAAAAGTGTTTTTGAGTCCCACCCCACTTTAGGAAATTATTTTCTTCTTATAAAAATGCCAGGGTAAGCTTAATATTTCTATTTTTGTTGCTGACATCACATGCTTTTCTACTTCATTCAACTAATTAATATTATTTTTTAGTTTAGAATCATCTAATTATTTTATATTCATTTTAAAAAAACTGTACTTGGATCAACTGTATAGGTTATGTGAAAGACAATAAAAAAACTCACTTTTATATAACTTTTTAACAAGTGGTTAGTCAAAGAGTAAAATATAAGCATCTAATCCACTAGAATAATTCTGAATATAATGTCATATGACTTAAGAATTTTTATCTATATATGTACTCACCAAGATATCGTATATGCTGATGAAACACAATGTTCATAGATAGCTTATCATTTATTATACACGATTTAGTTTTACATTCTATTAGTTCTACGTTCATGCAGTATTTAAAAAATTTAATCAAATATTTTTTTTGTGACTAATTGTCGAAAGAATTCTTGTTTATTTTAACAACCTCAACCTAATCTTAAATTGTTTATTGAATTTTTAAAATTTTCCAAAGAATGGCTCAAAGTCCATTAAATCCTTTTCCAACTCCGTCTTTGTTGTCTTTAGCTAGTAGTGAATTATATCATAGAAGGATGTTGAATTCTAAAGAAGATTTCATACAAAAACGTAGTTCCATTACTATTAATACAATCAATAATAGTGTCGATAGACAATCAGAAGATATGTTAAGTGTTGTTGATTATGAAGAATTAGAGTGGCAAGAATCTGCAGCTTCTTCTCCAGCTCCTACTAGTATCCTTAACTTTTATGATGTCGATAATCCTGTTTCTCGATCAAATGCCAGAAAATCTGGGTAACAAATTAATTATTTACTGATAAACTGATTTTGGAGTTTTTTCACTGATAAAAATGAGTATACGTAATTAATAAGATGTTATTCTGGATTAAAAACAAGCCTAAACATTATTATTACTTAAGTGTCTAGTTGATGATAAAGGAATGTTTTTTACCTATCTATGTGCCAATTTTTTGCTTACTATTGTTTATTTTTTTTTTAGAATTACCGGGATGTCTTTGGATAACATGTTTTGTTCCCGATGTCGGGAAGGATTTGAAGCACATGAAAAAATAGTTAATTCTCATGGAGAACTATGGCATCCTCAATGTTTTGTGTAAGTTAAAAATGTTTCTATAAGTTATGTGCAAGTGATCATAAAATTTTAATTTTTATGTGAAATTATATTTCAGTTGTGCCCAGTGCTTTAGACCATTCCCAGAAGGAATTTTCTACGAATTCGAAGGAAGAAAGTATTGTGAACATGATTTTCATGTTTTATTTGCTCCTTGTTGTGGACGATGTGGTAAATACTTAAAATTTCCTTCCTGTTATTATCAGTATAAACACTCAACGCACTCTTTATGTTTTCTCTAATATTTACTTTTCAGGAGAATTTGTAATTGGTCGAGTAATAAAAGCAATGAATGCAAACTGGCATCCAGGATGTTTTCGATGTGAAGAATGCAATGGTGAATTAGCTGATGCAGGTTTCATTAAATGTCAGGGTAGAGCTTTGTGTCACACTTGTAATGCTCGTGTCAAAGCAGGAGCACTTGGAAAACATATATGTCATCAATGCCAGTATGTTTACATTTAATTTGATTATTCTAAATTAAAGATGTCTTTCTACTTTGATTAAAAATGATTTTTTGTTTATAGTGGCGTAATTGATGATAAACCTTTACGATTTCGTGGTGAAGTTTATCATCCTTATCATTTCAATTGTACTGCGTGTGGTATAGAATTGAATTCAGATGCTAGAGAAGTTAGATCGAGACCTGGATATGCAGCCAATGAAATGGTTATTATAATTTTGCTTATCAATTTTTATTAATCATCTTTATAATTGTGTAATCAATAATTAATAATTTATCATCATACTTTTAGAATGAACTCTATTGCCTAAGGTGTCATGATAAAATGGGTATTCCAATCTGTGGAGCGTGTCGACGTCCCATAGAGGAAAGAGTTGTTACTGCATTAGGCAAGCATTGGCATGTTGAACATTTTGTATGTGCTAAATGTGAAAAACCCTTTTTGGGTCATCGGCATTACGAAAAAAAAGGTTTAGCGTACTGTGAAACTCATTATCACCAATTGTTTGGTAATCTTTGCTTCGTCTGCAATCAAGTTATAGCTGGTGATGGTAAGAATATTTTATTTGCCAATATTTTTTTTGTTTAACAGAACAATTATTATCGAATTTTTATAATCAATTGATAATTGAATTTCCAGTTTTTACTGCTCTCAATAAAGCCTGGTGTGTTCATCACTTCGCGTGTGCTTTTTGTGACCAAAAAATGAACCAAAAGACAAAATTTTATGAATTTGATCTACGACCAGCCTGCAAGAAGTGTTATGACAAATTTCCTCAAGAACTTAAAAAGAGAATGCGTCGAATGTATGACCTCAGCCCTAAGAGATTGCCAGCGAATTGATTGATATTTCAATCTTGCCATTATGAAATATTTTAAATAACCAAAGTAATGAATAATTAATATTGTATGGAGATATTTTATGGAATCTCAACTAATTTTCATATTTTTAATGTGAATGTCAATCAATTAGTCAATTAACTACTGACAAGGTATATCGTAATATCTAATTTTTAATTTACGCCTTTATAATTTATATAAAGAACAGAAAAATAATTGAGTGTAAAGTGCCTTAAAAAATAACTAAACCCATATTTTGTAATTTTTTGATCAATATTTTATAATTAATAAATTTTATCTCACAGAGTTATTCGCTATTTTCATTTTCATTTTAATTGCATCCAAAATTAAAATCATGTATTAAGTAGGATCATAGACTCATGTCTTATATGTCACGGAGTGCCGATAAGTATAATAAGAGAATCAGGTCATTTTACGAGATAAGGAGCTAAAATCATCATCAATACTCTTGATAGAAGACACGTCAGTGCTCTGTCGTGTGTCTTCAGTTCAACACCATTTGACAATGAAATAAAACTTTGATGACATTTGTTACTTGACTAGAATCAACAATAAATTAAATGTGATATCAAAAACCTAAAATGTGACCGTTGGATCCACAAACTTATGTCGACATTGAATTTTATCTGATAAATGCTCGACTGATAGGCGTCAGGAGTGGCTTGATAAGTCATTGAGGCCTCTACCAAGACTTTTCGTGTAGTTTCCAAAGAAGAAAATCGAAAATATACTTACGACTTTTTATTTCTTTATACAGTCAACAATGTCAGCCTCGTCATTGGAAATCTTTGGCGATGGTTCTGGCAGTATTGAGTGAGATAACTTGTTATAATTTAAAATCAAAATATTCACATTAGCTTTTATCATTAAAGTATTAATCTGGTGTTTATTTAACTTGTGATTTACTTAGTTTTATTTTTTATTCCATTATTATTGTCAGCATGGATTCCAATGGCCAAAAGAAACTTATTCCAAGGAAAAAACAAGACAAGTGTAGTTCCACATACATTCCTCATAATCGTCTCTCTAGGTATACGGCAGCTCTTGCTAACTTAGTACCTGTACGGTTTGGAAAGTGAGTGAAGATTTTGTGTTTTTTAAAGCATTTTTAAAATACTTTTTTTCAATAATTATCTAAAAGATTGATAAATTTTCAATATTATTATGGAACTGTAAATATCAATTTTAGAGTTCCTGGTTCAGAACTCCCTTTGGATAAAATAGGACTTTTCTCCAGTGTTTCTTTCAGTTGGCTCAATGAATATATTTCAGCTGGATATAAAAAAGTATTGAGCGATAAGCCATTACCCACTATTGCTATTCAGGACTCTTGTCAAATAAATGGAGCAAGGTATAAATGCTTGAATTGATTTAAATTATAAGTATTAATTATTGCAAAACAAAAATAAAATATCCAACTATTTTATAGACTAGATGCATTATGGCATACCCATATTGTCGAAAGGGGTCAAGCAGGTGCTTCAGTCCCAAAAATTGCATGGCATTTTGTTCGAACCAGAGTTCTTATCAGTTCTGCAATTTACTTTATAGGAATGCTCATTGCACTTTGTAGTCCAGTAAATATTTCTTTATTTTATGAAAATAATTCAAATAAATGAATAGAATTACTAATTGATTTTTTTTGTAGATTTTAGTATTACACAAAATTATTACAGCTACTGAAGATCGAATAAAAATGCTTGCTGAACATAGTAACATCAGTATAGATACAAACAAACTGATTTCATTAAATGCATCCAATTTTACAGTCAACAACAGTAGTAATTCTCCTGGAAACAGTACTGATAATTTCCAGCACTTATTGCTAATGGATGAGATCATTATTTTCACCAATATTGGTATTCTAGTCATTGCTGAAATTACTTCTCATTTTCTGACTTCCTGGAGTGCTTCGATGAATCTTAGAACTGCAACAAGACTCAAATCTGCTTGTTTGGCATTGGCTTACAAAAAACTTCTTCGATCTTCAATACGATTTAAAGCTCCAGTATACCAAGTAATGTTTTTTATTAAAAAAACAATTACATATGATATTTTTGTAGAGTCATGAATAAGTTTTTAAATTTTCTTGTCTGTATAATATGAATTTTTTAATCTAGTACGACATTATTTGAACAAGTGGTAAATAGAGTGTTGTGGACATGATACTATTCACAAGAAATTATCGAAACCAGTAATATGATAGTTTAAAAATGCATCAGTATATTTTATCAAATTAACTTATAAATGACTACACAATAATATTTTCTGTTTAATTTAAAAATATGAACATAAAATATTTCTTACCAAAAGAAATTATAATTAGTTAATTAAATTTCTTTATTGTAGCCTTAGGCTTCATATAAATAAATTAAAATTGAGAAAGAACCTTGAGGTAATAAAAACATTATACATAAGTAGGCCTTGGTTCAAAAAACTTTCACTAAACATTTGTTTGTAAAAAATACATAAATTACAATGAATTTATTTTTATTTTAGACTCTAACTTACTATGTTCCCGATAGTAAGACATTATACGAATTTATCACAAATGGGCCTCTGATATTTTCTGGACCCATTGTTTTACTTTTATCTTCACTATTCATCTGGTACTCGATGGGACATTGGGCTTTAATAGGAGTAATTGTTATGATAACATTATATCTTGGCTTTATTCTTAATGCTTACCTGACAAACAAGTTTGCTACGAGCGCGATGCATTACTCTTTGAAAAGACTGTCTTTATTAGAAGAGTTCATTGGTAAAATTCACTTGGCCAAAATAACACAGAGAGACAGATGTTTTATATCAAGAATCCATTCAATTCGAAAAAATGAAATAAGGGAAATTAAATTTGGAGCAATTAGTGAAGGGTGTAGTCTTTTCATGGTTCATGTTATTCCAATAGTCTCTGTAAGTGCCATGACGATGGCTTATCTTCTTACTCATGAATTCATTGATTCAGCAAACGTAAGTTCCCTACACTATGTTTCATAAACATTAATTATCAATAACGTTACTCATTAATTTTGATTACAGTACATTCCATGCTTCGTATTAATCTTCCTCCACCTGAAACATTGTATACGAAGTAGTTGGCTTGCAATGTGTAGTATTTCACATGGAGTAGCATCATTGAATAAACTGAAGAGCGTTCTTATTCTAAAAGATGCCGACCGTTTTACTGATAAACCGATTGATAAAAATTTTGCTATTACAATTAATTGTGGACATTTTTCTTGGGATTGTGATCAATCATCTCTTGAAAAATCAATCAGACATACTTCTTAGTGAGTATTTTACGTCAAAGTCTTATTGAAAGTAATTGTAATTCATATCAATGTATTAATAATTGATGAATGTCTAGTAGTTTTGTTTCAGATAATGACAACTTATCATGTCTAGACAATCAAGTAACAAATACTTCATCAGAGTTGATTGATATAAATTTTTATGTGTCTAAAGGACGTTTAGTAGGAATATGTGGAGCATCAGGAAGTGGAAAAACATCACTTCTGTTATCAATTATGGGCCAATTAAATCGAGTAAATGGTCAAGTAACAATTGATGGTACCTTATCTTATGTATCTGAAGCTTTTTGTCTACTAGAAGGGACTTTTAAAGAAAATATTGTTATGGAAGAACCCTTTGATTCTACTTTATACTATAAAACTATCCAAGCATGTAATTTAAATACGGATATAAGCTTACTTCCTGGTTCTGATGATACTGATATTAGCACCGTTGACTTATCGGCAAGTCAAAAACAAAAAATCGCATTTGCACGAGCGGTATATACTAATAAAGATATTATTCTGCTGGATAATCCATTAAAGGATGTGGACTTGAATGAAAGCTTAGAGATTTTTGAAAAGTCTCTGAAAATTTTAGGAAATAAGACTATTATCATGATATCTGATAAGATACAAGTATATATTTCACTAATATTTCTATTTTACTTTTTCTACATTATTTTTTTTATATTTGAATTGTTTTAATAATTCAATATTTTTCATTTACAGTTTTTGACTAAATGTGATGTTGTTTATATGATGAAACAAGGCAAAATCGTTGATCAAGGAAAACATGATGACCTTCGTCAATGGAATAAAGAGTATGAAGATTTAGTAAATTCATTTGAAAAGAAGTACCAAGAAATCCCGAAAACACCGGTAAAGAATATCATCAGAATGAAGAGTTTTATAAATTCAGGAGCGTCAACACATAATTTAGGATCAATCAGTCATGTAGATAAAGACCCAGAGAACTCTGTTGGCACTAGCATGTATTGGGGAATTGCTCCAAGAATTGATTGCCGTCCTTATAAAAATGATAAGGGAAAGTGTTTAAGTGAATTCGTTTGTGGATTATCCTTATTTTATTCAATTCCTATTGCTGCTGCGCCGCTAATATTTTTTTACATTGCACAGGTAAATTTTTAATAAAAGATATACCTTGATTAACTATTTAATTAATGAGTTTGTCATATTTAATAGTAAAATTATCAACTTTTTCAGAAAACTTTAACAACTACGACTTATATTGCAATAATTTTGGCATCATTAGCAGTATTTATTGTCGTTTGTGGATTATTTCTCATTATTATGTACAATAAGGTAAAGCTTATTATTGATGATACGATTTGTTATAAATGAATTAACAAATGTTATTATTTTTAGGATGTTTTTAACGCTGCAAAAACGATGCATGATAGATGGCTCCAAAGCATTTATCGAGCACATATATCAGTGTTTTCTGCTATCTCCTCATCTGCTATAATAAATATTTGCACTCATGATATGCAAGAAGGTAATTTTTATTTTAAATCAATCACTGTATCTATTTTTAAAATTTTTTATTCTATTTACAAACATTATTAGTCATTTCAATAATTATATTTAATTATATTTTCACTCATAATAATAACAATAAAAATAATATTTTTCAGTCGATTACGCATTGCCTAAGCTGAAAATAACTGCCTTGATGCACATAGGGATTAGCATCATTAGTGCAGTAATCCTCACTATAGTTTGCCCATGGTTATTGATCCCAATTTTATTATTTATCGCTGGAATAATCGGTTATAAAATTTATGTACGACAAATAATTTTAACACTGGATGAATTAAAAATAGAATCCATCACTCCAATTTACAGTCACATGGTTAATACTGTAAATGAAAGGATAATAATTCAAGCTTATAGAAAAGACAGAGAGTTTGCTAGAAAATTTTATAAATACTGTAATATCAATGCTGCTTATAATTTCATGCTGGAAGCAACAAAATTATGGTTTGAATATCGAGTTAAAATATTCTCAGTATTTACTTTAATGGCAGTTATGGTGATTTGTGCAGCGTTGAGTAGTTTTAAAGATCGTTATGAAGTTCTTGGGTTGGCATTTATTTGTACTCTTCAATTAACTCAGAGTATTGTTCATCTAAGCAGGGCAATTATCGATGCTTATGGTAGTCTTATGTCAATTGGATTTGTTGAAAATTATATCCAGGTATTTATAAGTGAAAACTTTTTTTAAATCGTAACCAGGAAATGTATAAGATAGTAAAATAGTTAATTATTAATTTAAGAATATTCCACAAGAAAAAAAAGATTCAGATGATCAAAGACGAGATTGGCCTTCTGCACCAAACATTCATTTCCAGAATGTTCTTTTAACAAGTAGCTCTACCGACTATGAACCTCTAAACTTTTCTATCTATGCTGGCGATAAAGTTGGTAAATACTTATTAATAACGTCTCTAAGTATTTTTTTATAAAAATAAATGTTTGCCTAAATATAAATAATATTTTGATGATTTCTAGAAATTCATACAAATGATCGTATCATGAAAAGAGATGTAGTCAATGCTTTACTGAAATTTGAAGAAGTATTTTCTGGAAACATTTTAGTTGGCAATGTAAACATTAATGATATACACATTGATAAATTGAGAAGATACGTTAACTATATTCCGGGAACGCCAGTTCTTTTTGATGGCACAATTAGATATAATCTAGAGATAACTGTACGTAAATCTAATGAGGAAATAATGGCAGCTTTACAGCAAGTATTACTCTGGGAAAAAATTTCTAAGCTCAAATACAAACTAGATAATGATGCAAATAATATCTTTAGCAGAGTAGAAAAGAAACTCTTATTTTTAGCTCGAATTTACCTTAATTCACCTTTTCCAAATCGCTCTGTGAGTATTACATGACATGTTTAAATTATTTAAAAAAATATTTCTATAGAATACTTTTAACAGAAATTGACATTTTTATAGATAATAATAATTGAAGATTTAGAACCAGATCCATCATTAATTGAAAACATTTTACAAGATGTATTTAAAGAGTTTACAATAATTGTTATGTCTAATAAATCACATTCTAGCTCTCGTAGAGTTATCGAACTACAGAGTCAAAAGGTAAATGAAGTAAAGAATTAATTAATTTTTTAAATAAAATGTAAGAAAATTATTTTATAAGCTATATACTTAGTATCTTTTTATTTTTGCAGTAATTTAGAAAATAATAAACTAAATAATATGATCATTGAAAGTTGTAATAAATCTACATATATATTTATAGGGAATTAACATATCAAAAATATCACATTCATCGGAAACGAGTGATGATGATTTATTGATCTAGTTAATAAAAAAATATAGTTTGTGATAATTTATCTAACTACCTTGATTAAATAAATATTTTTCATCAAAATATTTTTTATTACTGTTTCTTGGTAATTGTTACTATCTATTGTCATAATTCATCGTAGCTTCTATTACTTTACATTGACATTACAGAGAGTGTCAGCAATTAAAGTATTTGCAGACATAAATGCCTTTTATTCAGTGAAACTTACAGTTTTAATAGTATCTTGTTCATCATACTTGTTTCACTTCTCCACTGCAATGTGGACAACATGCAATAGTAGATTCAGTCATCAATGAAGGAAGACACATTTTTCCACTTAACGCAAATGCAGCTCCCATTACGGCACTACAAGCAGCATCTTGTCTTCCAGACATCATAACATTTGGGTTCATCAACAATTGCTCTGCATTCTTTTCTCCAACTGTTTTCATTTCCAAGCCAGCTACGATTTCTTTCTGCTTAGGCATGTGGGTCATTCCACTTAAAAGTTGAATTTTCAGAATTTCTGCTAATTGACAGCATCCGTCAGCTAAATCAATAATATTGGTGCTGGGCAGTTCATGTTTTTTATAAGTAAGTGTTCCCACAGGATCAAAATTTTCTCTTAAAATGCTTAACGTCTTGTAAGTTTTTAATGAAGTGTCACGAACTTTAGTCCTCTCTTCTAACAGTCTTTTAATGGATTCTTGCAAATCAGTTGTTCTTTGGCTCAATGCAGCTTTCCACTTTGCCAACTCTTCAACCATCAAACTACTTGCTAAAAATTTACTTCTCCAAACTTCGCACTGGCCAGCCAGCCATTCAGTTTGTTCTTGATGGGTACTTAAATGTTGAGCTGAATTGAGTAAAGCTCTTGCTAACTGCAGTTTGTCCTCGGTTAGTAAATGAACTTTAGTTTCAAGATCTTCACCAACAGCTGCCACTAATAAATTTTTCAATTCCCCATTTACTTGAGCTTGAAATTTTAATTGGTTCTCTAGTTGGCTATTTTCTTCTTTTAGATTTTGGATTTCTTGTTCGTAAGATTTTTTTTCTATCTCCCAGTCTTTAAGTTCTTTATTTTTATTGTCTTTTTGAGACTCTGCTATTCTTTTAGCCTCATCTTTTTCCATTTCAATTGATTTATGAATCGCCATTTGAGCAACCATTTCATTAATATCTAAATTATTTCTCGAACTTTTATGCTTCTTTTCAAAAGGAATTATCGGATTTACTGATGCTTTATAAGGTTCATAAGGAACAAATTTAGGTTCCTTAGATTTTAAACTATGTAAAATTTTTTCTTTCTTCCTTTGGGTTACATGCGTTGGAATAAGCTTAACAATTGTTCCTGTTGGAGTCACTGCAGGAGTGTATGATGATTGATTAAGATTTGTTGGATGATAGATAAGTGTGTCACGTAAGTGAGTTTTCTTCGTTTCTACTTTATCTGTGGATACGTTTTCCATTCCATCACCTTGAGTACGTCCAGGACAGGGCAGTGACATTGGAGCTAATAAATAAATATTTTTTACTACTTTATAAATAATCCATTTAGTAAAATATTGGAAGATAAATGTTACCTGTTGATTGGCCAAACTTACTATTTTTCTGGATACTTGAAAATCCTTCAATATTTTTAGTATTATTTTTAAGTTCTACATTACTTTCATCCATTGTTATTTTTTTAAATTAAAATAAATATGTAACTATTTAAATGAATCTAGAACAATATGTAACAATAATAAAGCATAATTAATTCTTTGAAAGTTTAATTAATTTTGTTTGAAAATTTTCTTTAGAACATGACAACACACCTCTCACTTGATATCCGCCATTTTAATTTTGTCACTGCGCATGCGTGATATTTGAAAGGCTTGTGATAGCCCACGTAGCAAGAGTTTTGTATTTATCTATATGACAATTCCCAGTGGACCATATGATAGTTGAAAAAAGTTATCAAAAAAATGTCTATTTTCAGTGTCGTAACTTTTTCAGAAATCTTCTGGGCAAAGAGATAAAAAAGGGATTAAAGATCCCTTTAACTTGAAAAAGAAGTCTTTTAGTTTACTACGTGTTCCATGTACTTGAGTAGAATAAAATAATATCATCTAAATTAAATATTCAAAAAAAAAATTTTTAATCATATCAATACATTTTTCAGGTATATGTAAAGTTAATTTCATTTTAAAGAAATATCATGAACATGAAAATCATAAATAATATCACACTAAATATTAAACCCGATAATTCACACGGAGAGATTTTTTCACTAAATGTAAGTGCAAAAATGACAAGCCCACGTTTCGAAATTTAGAAGTAAAAATATTTCTGCTCAACAGTGAATTTTGGGTTGTCGTAAGTAATTCTTTTACTAAGACATCTTTTAAGTCTCAAGTTTACTTATGACAACCCAAAATTCACTGTTGAACAGAAATATTTTCACTTCTAAATTTCGAAACGCGGGCTTGTCATTTTTGCACTTACATTTAGTGAAAAAATTCTCTCTGTGCATCTGTTATCTTTGTTCGATCATGCGTATTCTCTAGAGTAAGAGATAAAATTTTTTGTACAAATATATAATATTAGAGCAGTATGTTTTAGCTCGAGCTGACCAATGAATACACATTTTATATGATTTCATATTCAGTTCAATAAATTTGAACCACTTAATGCCATTACGATTGAAAAACTATTTGAAAAAAAATATATCTCCGATCACTTTCATTGTTCCAATTAAATGACTCTCCTTACACTAAAATTTTTATTAATATCAGTGATAATCTGATCACTTGTCAATAAAAAAAATTAGTTAATAGAAGTAAAGTTTTTCCTTACTAGAATACATTCAATTTTTTAGCACTCAAATACGGCCTAACATTTTCATAAATCATTAGTCTGTCTGATTGTTGAAAGTTCAATTACTCATATGATCAAATGTATTTATTAAGATAAAAAATAAATAATATTAAGATAAAAGAGAAAAAATAATCATCATTTGTGAGAACCCGAGAAAAATTTTTTATATCTGATTATACATAAAAATCTGGCCATATAGGTTTTCATATATGGAAAATATTTTTGATGTATCACATAAAACATATGTAACCGTATATGTGGGTTCGCACACACAGACACGCATTATTGCGAATCACAGTTGAAATTTAGAGGCTCTTTGCTAAAACTTTTCTCCATGTAGAATTAGTTTCTATGTTTTCATCGATAGAAGAGAAATGTCAATACAAGAGAAATTATCAATATTAATGTCGGTACAGTAACATCACTTCTACGGTTTTCTTTTTTAGCAACTATTTTTTTCTTTACCCTAGTTATTGATTTATACTTCCTTCTGTGTCATCAAGATTCATGAATTTGGTGAATTTGTTTCACTTTTAATAATCGCAAGTAGAAGACTTTTTATCCACAGAACTGACACTAAACGTTTGCTGATGGGTATGCTCTGAAATATAATCCAGTTTACAGGGTCCAGGGTCAATCTGTATATGACGTCATAAGTCAACACCAAGTCTTGTTGGTTTGTTTTGTAGTTTACTATCATCATAAAAAAACACTGGCCGGTATACTGATTTCTACAGTACGCTTCATTACTAACTACATTATCGTTATGAGAAAATGAATGAAAGGATTATAGAAGTTTTGAAAATACAAATTGTTAAATTATGTGTTGCTGGATTCAAAGTAAATAAAGAAAATAGTTTATGATTCTAATCATTCTCTAGGCAAGAATACAAGCATTGTAATTAATATACAGGAACTTGAGAAAGAATGTCAACAAGAAATTGACGAGATGAAAAGAGAAAATATCAATATAACCAGTGAGACTGATGGTATTTGTGAATGTATAACTTTTGCGGATATTTTAAAACAACATGATCGTTTCTTATTCAGAATTGGTGATAAGTAGGGCATTCAAATAAAATGTAAAATATTGATATAAAGCGATGAATTCTGCGAAAAGATATTTTCATAGAAATGTTTGCCAAATAATGCCTTATAATTGTATTGATAGAGTTTTCAGTTACTTAAATACTACTGAATTGAAGATATTTATACAAGCCATAGAACCATTCAATAGCTAAACAAACTAATAATCTCATAAAAATCAGATTGATTCCAATGATATAAGAAAAAATGATTTTTCTTTCTTAATTTGAAAAAATACTAATATAACTTCCCAGTAAACTCTCAGTGAAACAAATTAGCTCTATATGGGTTATGAGCTCTAACGGTTGTAACTTTATTTTTTACTAGATTAATAAATTTAATCAAAATTAAACGTATACATTTCCATTTTATCTTGTTTAATGTATTTATAATAAATAATTTAAAAATGAATCAAATAACTTGGATTTTCAATACTTAGGTGTCACTGACTTTCTTTCATTTATATAAAAACATAATAGATATTATTAATTATAAGAAAAAAAATTGATCAATTCAATTGTTTATTAAATAAAATTATAATTGATTCAATTATTTAAACACATTTATATTATCAATTTCACTTTATTACTTTTGATGCAAAGTCTAATATAGAATGCCGTTTTATTTTGACTTCTGCCCAAGTATCCCATTGATAAAAATTTACATTTTTTTAAATCTTTTTAATAAGCATTGATGTCTTTATATTCATCGTGAATAATAACAGAAATTGAAAAAATCAATCAAATAGAAATATAAAAATTATAATAATTCACTTAAATAAAGCGAATAGAAGTTCAAAACATATGTGTATCAGATTAAATCTTCTTTAAAGATAGCAGTACTTTGAATTTCAGAATACACAAAATTTAAACTAAGAGTGAGGAATAGAAGGGTTTGTTCATTAGATTCCAAGTTATTTATCTGTGTAATTTTAAATTTAAATTGTATATTTTTTGTAACTGCTTCTCAGTACAAATTCGAAAACTTTCGTTATTAAATGATTCAAATCATCAATTTGAGATGTTGGTGAAGCAGATCTTCATATACGTATAGGTATTCGTGATGTATGTGTAACATTTTGAAAGCTATGATTATTTAATTGATTTATCAATAACAATAAGAAATATTTTATCATAAAATTAGATTTTTTCTACAAATTTTTGACTATTACTAGAGAAAAATTTCAAGTTACTTAAAACTTTTAATAACTTAAACTTCAATTCCCTCTCAAGATATCTAAATATAACAAGTATTTAGCACAGTACTTGATTAATGTCAATATTATTAAGTCATTTTATCTCTTTTATTCACATAAGCAAAACAATTCAAATTAATGTTACTAGAAATCGGTTATACGATTCATACTGATTTTGATAATAATGAAAAATATCTAGAAAACATTTAAAATATAAAAATTTACAAACATCAAAATTAAATGCCATTAATATTTTTTTCCTTTCATCAAAAGTAAATGGAATGTTTTTATAAGATAAGATAAAGTATGTTATACAAAAAAGAAAGAACAACTAGGAAAATTTTATTATAGTAAATAAACTTACTTTTATTTCACCTGCAATTTATGGGATACAAAAAATACTTTAAAATAGTTTTGGAGCACACAATGAAAAAAATGATGGTCGAATAATTTTAAAAAGGCTTGAGAGCAGCATTGATAAATAGTTTGAATGAGATAATCCATAACATGAAAGTAAATTTAAGCATTGCATCAATAAGTGGGACGCAATGATGCGCGGAGCGGCCACTCCGAAGCGCTCCCCTTTCACGAGGCTTTCATGAACAGAAAGGAGTCAACATGTTACTTAAGTATAGCCGCGATATCAATTCAAACTCTCGCGCTTTACTCTGTTCTCCTGTTTCAGGGGGTCCCCGAGAACTGGCCTGCCCCACGATTCAGCTTACGTTGTTGCAAAATTTATCGCTCACTTTAATATCTCATGCCAATATCAGCAACATTATTCATGAAAAAGCCTCTTTGTTGATAAAATGAAAACCTTTATCAATGATTCAGAGTAAGTAGATTTATTTTATTGTATTCTCAAGGGATTTATCATAAGGGTTAGTATAAAAGAAAATTCACAAAAGAATCAATAAATGCTTCTATAAGTCAACAAATGTCTATTTTCCAAGAAGAATTTTTCTGCTGGCGCCAAAGTTTTGTCCTGATTGTGTCGCTCCTTTGTTGGATCCTGCTTGGAGACCAATTACTGATTCACCTGCTCGTAGTTGATCTTCAGTGAAATATCTTTTGTTTTCTTCTGAAGGTTTAGGTCCCAACCATGGTCCACGCCATTCAGGATGTTTGTAAGTCTGAAAAAAAGTTCAGGTTTGATGACAATAAATTTCACTTCCTTATTATTTGATTAATTAATGAAGTAACTATTAACACTTATCATTGTATTGTTAAGTAGACAAGTTTATTACTGAAGAGTATATTTACCGTGCGACCAATAGCAAAAATAGTATTTGTAACAAGTGCAATATTTTTCCTTTCCATCAGATCCACTGCTTGGAATAGATCAACGTCTGGTACTCCATACTTGACACAAGCTTTTTGAAATCTGCAACATGAATAATGATACAGATGAAAATGTGCTACGAGAGGGGAATATTTTTAGACTTATTTGGAAAAAATGTTGTAAAAAAGCTGAAGAAAACAAGAGAAAGTGTGTGTGGAAAAGGTAAAAAATGAAGAAAAAGAAAACCAAGCTCATGAATCAGCTCTTTGGTAAATCTGTTCGCCTGACCCTTTTCTTAGCTTAGTGACGCGCTTCTATTGTCTCAACATTAATTGCAAAATATTAATTAATAACACTAGGCTGTTCTTAAGGGATACATTTCTAAAAGACGTTCGTAAAGGGAAGAAATTGCCAGGTCATTCAAAAGGCAGATTTCTGTCACAGAAATGACGTGTCGCATATCCCAATCGACCAGGAGAATATGACGATGAAAACGTGGCATACATGCATGATAACACTTAAGTGAATGTTTAGGAATACAATATATTGATACAAAAGTAAATTCTTTATTGAAATTGATTATTTTGATCGATCCAAATAATTTTTGTAAATCTGAAGATTAATTTTTCGATGTAACTGATAGCTAATTAAATATTGAAATTTATTTAAAATAATTAAAAATATTTATTTACGTTATATTATATTGAAAATATTTCTTCCAATGAATTTTCGCAATACAAAATGCATTATTGATTGAAGGAAATTTATAATCCTCTAAAATGTATAAAATTTGAATTATTAGTAAAAAGATTAATTTCATCTATAAAATTCATGATTTGATTCGCGCATGTGTAGGTTTTTACATACACGACAAAGTCGACTGTGAGTATTTCAGCTTATACCTTCCTCGAGTAGCTAACTTCCTGATGACTAACGCGTCTGCCGCATATGAGCACCGAACTTTATTTCTATGATGTTGCGCTACTCGTCTGCCAATTAAACAGCACACGTGTGCTCTGAATGTCCGGCTTTTGAGTGAGTATTTTCTTCAAGACGAACAATGTCTGAGGGTGTGATGCTTTTGAATTGAACGATCAGTAAATGAGGAAGGACGGTACTTAGAAAGCCCAGGTAGACCAGAGTAACATGAAGGGTTTCAAAGTTACGATACGTCTTTTTAGTTTCAGTAGAGAATACCCGTGGTTTCCTTTCTCGCGTTCTCTTAAACACGTGGACCTTATACTTGTACTGCTCTTATGCTTTTCGCATCAAAAGGGAGTAATGCGGAGTGGCCGCGTTGCGCATGGTTGACCCCACTCTCCTCTTCTATTTATATAATTAGTATTTATGATAGTTATTAATTAATTACTACATCGTGTTACGAGAACTTTTTCCGTTCAATTGGTCACTCAAATACCTTAGTAATGTTTTTACAGATGGTTTTTAAGCTTAAGAAAAATAATGTATGATAGAGTTACTGAATTAATACTAATCCTTATTTATTTTTCTTTTATTTCAATGGTAAGAGACTTGGTAATTTAACAATTTGAAAAGAGAAATATAAAATACAATACACCATAGTTAAAAAAATTTATACTACGCACAAAGATATCAATTTAATGTCGAACATATTTCTTTATACAAAAATAGATTGATAAAATGAAATTATTTGAATTTTTTGATAAATTGGTGATATTATGGTTTGAATAAATCTGACTGATTACTTACTGAATTCTTTTATACCGATATTTATTTTACAATCACAGGAATTAAATAAATGAAGATAAATGGTAAAAATGATTTTCTAGACATCATTCTGATCATCATACGCATGACTTTGATAAGAAATTTGAGTATTTTTTTTTTTTAATTTCTCTCTTCTCTTAACTGAGTCATAAGTACATAAAGATCTAGAAGAGTCGGTATGAACTGGAGTAGTGAAAGTAAAAGTACTAAAAAAGCTCTTTCCACATTATGTTATCCCCAATACATATGTTAGGATGCTTGGATGAACTTAACCTTACAGTCAAAGATGCAGACCTTCTATAGAATTAAAGATTAAATCGAATTAAATATAATTTTAGTACAAAATTAAGAAGAATAATTTTTTTCATGAATTTTTCATAACATATGTTATGATTGTATTAAATTAAAATAGGAAGATCATTTCTAATTTTATCTAATCATAATTTAAATTCCATACAGTCTACTGATTTATTTGAACTCTTGATTGAACTAAGAATGTTTCGAACAAAGAAAATAAAAGTAAAAATTGCTACCTTAAAATAAGTCTCTTATAGACACCTGAATTACATTCGTCAATATTTAAATCATAAGAATTGACGTCGTAGTAATCTTAATATAAATGTATTATCTAAACTTTAAATTTACTTAAGTTGATAATTTTTGAATTTGTTATTTTAATCATGATACTGAATCATGAACAGATTTGATTTTTTATTGATCCCTATTACTTCAAATATTTGATGATTTAAAGATAGATATTACTCAATAAATTAATTTAAATTTATACGAAGTTTTCTAGATAAGATAGACATTACAATATACATGCACTAATATATAAAAACACTCGTTTCAACATAAGGTTTTCCCAAAACAGAATTACTATTGTACTGAACAATCAACGAATCCTCTTTCTTTGGCGGAAGATTATTTTTTATCACCACTAAAATGACTAATTTCAAAACTATTTCGTATGTAATTGTATTTATCATTAATTTGTGTCAATTTTCGATTTCTCTTAACCGTCAAAAACATTATAATACACTTACAACACCAGTCGTGATGATTTCAAACAAAGTACATGGTAAATATGAATTTTTACTCATTTCTTCGAAATTTAATTCATTTCTGTTATTAAATTTCAGATAGCTTATTAGATGAAACTATGGTACAATATGGATCTATAATTCATCCCAGATATGTTCTTACATTTGCAAATATTCTAAAAATGTAATTGATTGATTCATTAGAAAAATTTTAATTCTTTATTTGATTATTATTAAATAACTTTACTTATTACACTGCTGGTGTTTTTTATTACTATATTAATTACTATAGGTACCAACCAGAAGATCTATTGGTTCATATTGATTGTTATTCAGATTGGTTTATTTTTTTAAAATCTTGTTCTGACATTAAGCAAGCTCTACGCTTCAAATTTATCACAGATAATTATTCAAACTCTACAGGAATAGAATCAAAGTATGGCTTCATAGTTCTTAAAAATTCAATATTTACGAATCCAAGAGTAGATGTGGTTCGTTTAGCATTCAGTGATGATATTGTTGATAAATCTAATTGTTTAATTTATTCTTTTATTCATCATGAATACTTGAGTAGTTTTGGTGAGTTATTAAAATTTATGTATGTACATGTTTTTACCAAATATCAAATCTGTTCATTTTTATTTTTTAATGACAAGAAGTAGAACTTGATAGTAATATCCTATTATTTTTTTTAGTTTCATATGTAACTCCAGTTAGATTTGAAGAAGTGGATGGAATTTACTTGCCAAAAAGCAGATTGCGATTAATTGATGATAATGATAAAGAACTAGAACTACAAAGAATTGCTACAGAAGTTGTAAGTAGAATAATTAATCAAATAAATATAATGGAATATATTTTTGCCATGTAGATTGTTATAATTATTTGAAAAATATGAAATTATTGCTTATTTTTATCATTGACAGAGTTTTTTTGGTAGTCCAATTGTATGTGCTCTCAACAATTCAATGGCCTATGTTCAAGTTGGAATTTCAAATCTAAAATTTAAATTCAGTCCTCCTCGTTTTTTAAATAAATTTAGAGTAGATCCACAAATTAGTGAATTATCAGTCAATTTTTCTCCAGAAGAAACAGAAAAAATCCAGTCATTCTTACCTTTTAAGTTTCCAATTGAGTATTCAATCGTGCGCATGATTTCCTAATGAAGGATTGGTTTAGAGAAAAATAAAAAAAATTGTTTGGATATAATGTCGAACACTTTTTTTTATCAATTATTGCTTAATTTTATGTATTTTTATAATATTAACTTTATTTTTATCTTTTATGTAAATAAAGAAGATTATCAAAAATAAAAAAATAAATTACCAAAAAGAAAAACAAAATGAAATTTGAAAAAAATTAATCTAAACAAGAGTTTAATCGGTTTAGGAATAAAACTTCTTCAGTGTTGATATCAAAGCTATTTTGACCACCTCCTCACATGCAGATATGCGATCAGGATGGTAGCAAAGTATTAAAAGCAGAAATTTAGCTCGTTAGAAAATCATTAGACTTAGACGATGTCGTAAAAGTGAAAAATCATTGTGAATTTACTGCAGTCTCAAGATATGTATTGTTTAATATTGATATTTACTTCCCAGATGATTTTTTGTTGATAAACATTCGTAATTAGAACAGGTTTATTCCTAATCAATAAGACAAAGATCATGGAGTTAATTCCAAGCAAAAATAATACTGTCTGTTGTCATAAATAAGCGATGGTCCCGACCTCGGACTTTGTCAGTGCTTCTTTATCAAGGTTTTATGAAGTTGTAAGAGCTAACACGGTTTTCTCGAAAAAATTCTACAACTTACATAATTAATTATTTAAATTTGAAAATTGCAACTACACTTGATAATTTTTTAGATTGAAATCGTTGAAGTAATATTCACCATTTCAAATAATTATTAAAAATGACATCATAAGTTATATCATATCATGTCTTCTGGAAAGATTTATCGAAAAATAGTTTACTACAAAATACTGTCGATTGCGTAAAGTCGAATAAGAATCCGGCAAGCATGAAGGCAAGTAAGTGGAAGACTGACTCAACATTTTGCAATCAGTTCGCATATTTATTTGCAAAAAAATAAACTTCTATATGGGGAGATAATAAATGGAAAGCAAGTATTATTCGCAAACTTTGAGATTTTCAAGAAATTTTAGCTAATTATTGCTACTTACTGGTTCAAATTATCCATCATTTTGTAATCGCCTCCCGATGTGTTGATTTTGGAGATGATTCCTGGTTGAAGACGGTTCATCAGCTTGCAAAAAATCACACCATCTCTTAATGCATCTTCATATCTGACACCTAAAATTTAAGATTAGTATCTAAATGATTGTTTAAAAATGGGAAGAATTTTAAAAATTTTTTTCGAAAAAACGTTCTAACAATGAAGAAGATAATCTAGTAAAAATAATTGTTAATTAAACTTTGTGTTATTTTCTAACATTGTAATTGAATTAATAATTGAAATGTTTTATTTTACTTTATTATATAATATTTTAAAAAATTATTGCAAAATTTTCTATTCTGTTATTAAATGAATAAAACAATTCATAGAAATTTATTTCAACAAATTATTGAATTTATTTTACACAAAAATGATAAATTATGATAAAAAATTAAATTTTTAAAACAAATTGTATATTTTTTTATCTATTAACAATGTGAAAAATTGAAAGCATTACAACAAATGAGAATAAACATTATTTGCATTGAAATTAATTTAAATATACATGAATTGTTGATTAAGAACTTAATTAATCATAAATATAATTAATCTAAGTACCTAAATATTTTCGTATTTTCTGATGAATCTAATAAAAATAAGATTCAGAGGATACAAAGTTGACTGAAAAGAATGTTGAGACACACGAACGAATCAGGAACGCATAAATCGACGAGAAAATATAAGAATACACATTTTTTCGCACGATATTGCAAAAAAATACAAACTGCGCAATCGTGAGGTAAAAAAGATGACGTGGAGATTGAATAGAAATCGAAAGTGCGCCGGCGTCAATTATTGAACTCCGCCTCTGTATTATTGATAGCATAAGGCTCCAATGTGTAGCTTTCATTGTTCTGGGTGTTATTTTGAAATTTTTTTTATTTTCCTATCAGTATGGAATAATAATCGAACCTGTTTGATGGGTAAATAGTGGGATGAGGGGGAGGCGAAGAGAGACCAACGCAGTTTCATGTCACCCCATTATGCCAAGAGGGAGTCCAAGGGGGCATGCAATTTTTTTTACAGTTATCAAAGAAGAAATTGGACTACGGAATCGTCTTTACAAGCATCTCAAATGCGTTTTTTCGTCAAGCGAGTAACGACGACACATACTCAAGATACAAACCGGTCTCACATGAGCTTGGAGCTATTTCATTCGTAACTCGACGCCATTCGAAAGACGCACCGTATCTCCAATAGCCAGGAGTGCAGTTGACTTGTGGAGGTGTATCGATACGTTTTTATTTTCTTTTTTTAATTCATTCGTTTTGTACTTTTTCATTGGCGTATTATGTTCGTTCCATGTTATCCTTTGATGTGTAGCATTCAAAATCTAACTCGTTCCCATTGACCACGTCCATTCGAGGATTTTGCCGGAAGATACGTGGAAGAAGAGAAATACGAAGAATCAGTGATGGCCGGTGGACACACTATTGCTAGGAACCAGGCGGTTATACAATACGAGTGCTGATATTTAAATTGACTTGAAAAATATGCGGATGCTATAAATATAAAAGTTTAACTTATACTAAGAGAGCATGCATGATGTTGGGTATGTTGACCTACTCATTCTGAAATTGAATTACTGTTCATACCATGTCATTCCCATATTGACATGTGTTGTAGAGCAGCTCATGGTGATATTGGAGAATAGCAAAATCAGGAAATTTCGAAGGTCAACAGGTATAAACGAAACCACATGCCATCTGTTCATGAAACTACTAGCCTGATCCTGCAAGGACGTTTGATCACGTGGTTCCAAATTTCTAGGGAAACTACATCATGGGGAGATTTGGCAACTAGGGTTTGGAAGACACCAACTAGGTAAAGTGCGACGCAGAGGGAAAGAGATACGTTTTATCTTGTTGTTGAATCTGCTAGCCTAATACAAAACTGGTCGGAGTTCGGCGTTCCCAATTGACGAGCCATTGACAGCCGATCGACTCTTCCTAGTACGTTGGAATCCTATTAACTCTAGACTGAACCAAGTATAAAACTGTTCGATATGCTTCTTTAGAAAACTGAATGATGCTTACATTGTTTGTAGATATACTACATTCAGAAAAAAGTAAGATATGGGAGCAGCAAACAGAAAGTGCTCGTACGACATCAGGAACTCATTACCGTCCAGGAAGTCAGTTTCCGGGTACGATATCATAGTATCAGGAATTTATTTCGCTATGAGTGTGTTTTAATTGTTTAGAAGAAGTACAAAAATTTATCCTTGGGGAGGCGCCCAGTCGTATTTTAGTACTAGGGTTTTATGATCATATTGAAGCTGATTTAATTCAAGATGCAAAAATGGTATTTAGAGATTCTGGTGGTTCAACACTAAATCAATTTTTTCGTCATCATTAATAATAATATATTAATTAATTTATTATATTAATTTATAGATTATTTTATAACATCTGTTTGATGTTTGAGTAGATTTGCTAGCTTTTGGTTTGTGAAATTTATTTAAAATAACTGGACATTCATCAGAAAACAAAATAAATGATGCAACCCTGGTATTCTCGAAAACCTATGAAATGTCGTAAAAGAAAAGAGGTGACAGCTAATCAATAGTTAAAATTTTCTCTCACTGATAAATAAATATTTGTTTCATAAATGATAATAATCATTACTGTCGTCACAATCAATAGAATTAATTAAAATAGTTAATGTATGATAAAACAAATTGTTGAAAAATGAACTGGAAGAATATAACTAATGAGAATAAATTTTCAATTAGTTTATATTCCATTAAAAATGAATGAAAGTATTTGAATGAAACTGTCAGCTGGTAGCTTGGTATTTCAGGTTTATCGATTAAATGTCAAGCTCACATCATAAAGACGTCAAAGGCACGATTTTCATCAGGACAACATCCTGCATGCGAATTTACGACTTTTCCTCAAGCAACAGGTTTTGCTACAATGGCGGGAATGTATTTTTCATGTCGTATGATGGTTAGATACAAGAAACACTTGCAATGATAGCATAATATATTATTTCTATGCAAATCAAAATAAGTTTTTGAATGATAAACTCATAAATCATTTTTTTTTTGATACATAAATATTTATTATTAATCATTTTAACAACATAAATTAAAAGAATAGGAAACATAAAATGATTGGTTTTAATAAAAAGTTTAAATTTGAATAAAAAATTTGACTATAATTTATTGAAATTATTGAGGTGGAGTTTACACGAATGGCGTAACTACACAATTGAACATAATCTAAAGAGGATGAGATGTTTATTCAATTCAAAGAGTAATTGAACAATCATTTGTTAACTCAATTCAACAATAATCTATTTTGAATTCTCAATTTGTAAATATTCCAACAATTTCCTCATAATTTGTAATAAAATTCAAAGATCCAAACAAAAGGGGAATGATTTAAATATAATAAAACTACGATCACTGAAAATAGATAGCAAAGCTTAGCATCTAAAAGCAAGGAAGTAAATGCGCGGTTTGACGTCAACTTGTTGCGCAAGCTCGTAAATTTTCCCCCAGGCTGTAATCCTGGTAGGCTTGTCTCAAAGTGACGTCATTGACGAAGCTCTGACGAGCTTTCAGTATCTTGAAGTTTGTCATGTCTTCAACGCGATTGATCAACATTCACCTTGACCAGAGTATCATTGATTCAGAAATAAACCAAAGGTGTCCAGAGAAGAAAAAAAAGGAAAGACGATGAAACTAGCAGTTTTACAAACAGGGCTAGTATAAAAGCTACAGTAGTCAATTTTGTAGATTGATCAGGCGCAACTGGTTGACGTTGACGTTAGGGGTGAAGAAGAGAACCCTATAAATCCCTCAAACGTCTGCTAGTTTCCTGATGCTGTAGGTCGCCTTGCGCCGTCGTGACAGACGGATGACTGACGTTTGGATAGTTCAAGTGACAGTATGTGATGGTCAAAAGCTTTTGTTTGAATCTGACACTCTAGCATTTCTTACTTACAAAACATAGAAGCAAAGATCTTTGATGTCTTGAAAAGTATGAAAAAAAAGTAGATGAACAACTAGGCTTTAACTATGTCTCCCTGATACTCTAGCGTCTCTACAACGTAACATGATGAACGAGTGACGGCAAATCGATAACTGAAACATTTCTCAGAGCAGTCCGTTGTTGCTGTTGAGACTAATGATACTATTCATACCTAAAATCACCAATCTCGTATTAATTATCAAGGTCTGTATAGCATTTCGATCCACCAACCTTCTGCTAATTTCGTTATTTTTGAACTCGACAGGTGGAACTGGCTGTTTAAGCAACCAGGCTTCTACTCGGTGGTGAAAGCTCACTGTGGAAAACCCCCACCAGACATTGCAGACATTCGCGAGTTGGTACTGGTGCGAATAACATAAAGGTACAGTGCAAGCTCTGAGAGGGGATTGTATAGGTAAGTGGGGGTTGGTTTGGACGTTTGGCCACCTCCACAGCGTCCTCTATTTCACCAGGATGACAGTCGTGGATAGAGGATTTATACTTTTGAGATTAGCAACCATTTTTGATTGAAAATGATACGTTTTTGACAATCAAAGTCTAATGAATTACATATCAAAGAAATACACTCAGATCAGCTGATGCTGTTAAACTTTGTTAATTGATTGGCGTGATAAAAGTCGCATGATTTCATGTCTTGAATTAAACATAATGACGTGTTTGTTACATCAGTAGCAACATGATGAAACATCCGTTGAGACAAAGTTGTTGATTTGCGTCGACGCGCGATGTATTCACAAAATCAGGATTGTATGTAGTTAGACATGGGTAAGAATATGAATTTGATCTACCCTTGAGATTGTTCTAGAATCTAAATTCACTCACGTTGTGACATAATAGAGCGCGCGTTATGCCAGGGTAGTACGAAGCCTAGAAAGCAAAAGCTACCCTCTAGTACGGTTGTCAAGTGTGGAAATCAAGGAAGCAGCCACGTGTGAATAATGCTTTTCTTGCATATACGTAGATTAAATTCTATTGATTTGTTCAAAAACTGACCTTTCACAGCAATTTAACCTTACCAACGTCATGTACCTCAAAATTTCTATCCGGAACGCATCATATGTATGTAGGGAAAACTCTCACGTAAATGGGATCAAAAATATCCAAATGTCAAAGCTTGCAGACCCTTACCACCTTTAATGAACAGGATATCATATACTCTGCAGGGTTGAAAATTTTTTTAGAGGGTGAAATCATAACCCTGGTTTATGATTGTACGAAATATTGCAACACCGATAACTTCTAAATGATTCTGAAGGGCTTGCAGCGATTTTTCCACCCCTAAATATCAGGATATTATACGAGGGTTGATATGGCATCTAGGGTAGAGAATGTCATAGAATTGTACACAAAATTTCATGCTCAAATAAATCGATAAAAAGACTCTGCCCCCTTACGTTGAATTGAGTAGAGTAAACGATTACTACTTGCGTTTATGATCTCCTGATTTCTCGACCAATTGATGTTTAGACAAGTTTCAAACAATTACGTCTATGTACTCACCTGGTGGAAACCTTTCCCCGATTACTTGTTCAATCCATTGTTGTGCTTCTGCTTCCTGCTCGGGTTCACGTTTACCAGCAACCTATAATGTAAAAAAAGAAGGCTATTTGTATTGCTATGTCATTCTGTCTGAGTTTATTAATCAGACTTAAAGTATTTCAATCGCTCTGGGCAGTATAAAAAAAAGACCCAAGGCCCTTCGAAGAAAATTAATATTGTTCATTAAATATACACACTAGCTTTTGGCATATTGATGAATTTGTCTTTTATTATTTCGAAAAATGTAAAAAGATTTAGAATAACATTATTAATAATAATTAATTTTTTCAGAAACGATACTATAAAACCTGATTTTTTCTTGGACAAAGTATTTATTATAAATGTACTTGCATTACATAATTATTTCTACAAGAATTTGAAGGACCTCTTTTCAAATGAATGTTACAAAACCTAGTCTTGTAATCAGTTATCATTTTTTGAAATAAAAAAAAGAGTGCACTTTGATTTCACGTAACTGTAGTTCTAAACGACAAATCGATTTTGCTCTTTAAAACAACCGTTTTATTTTCTAATAATCTTCATTCTAATTTAGTAAAAAAAAAAATTAAACAAAATTAATTTCGATCGAAATACTCTAAACTAAAGACACTTCTCTTACGTCGTTAGGGATATAAATTTACATTCGTTGTGGGCGGAAGTCGTCATTCAGCAGCTAGTCACATAAAAATAAATTCGTAGCAACAAATTATAAGAAATGTAGTTATAATTTATTGCCTCTAAACGATAATGTATTTATCTATTGGTTTTATTTTACTGTTATACATAGTGTTATGTATATGAGAATTAATTTTGGATTTTTTTAATCAGTTTCCGCAGAAACTTTCAAAAATTGCCGTAGCCGATGGTATTTCACATCGTCTTGGCGGGGTATTGGTAAAAGTTTTCAACTAGCAATAATCGCACCTCGGTAGAACCTCATTGGTTACGATATCGCCACTGCGCAAAGCTAACGATCATTACTTCAAGTTTTGTATTTAAAAAGTATTTGACAATATTACTAATGCGAAAAAAATTTCGGGTGTGCGCCATCTACAAATATCCAATGAATTAAATTCCCCGTATCTTCTACAACCATGCTTTAATAGCTAATTCATGATAATTAAAACATTACTACTATAAACTTTTGATTTGTAAAGAAAATAAATAATAACATTACTTATAATAATTAATAATAATTTATTACAATTTGATTATTATTAATTATAAACAAAAATTTTATGAATAATTGATTGATAAAAAATAGTTAATAATTAATCATCTTTAGAACGTTATGATATTTTCTACGTTCAATGAATACATTCAAATATGCAATTAAATTCGTTACTTATTGTAATGTTTAATTAAATGAATATAAGTGTATAATTATACTTTACTTTTGAAACTTTCTGAATGGGTACTTTTAATTAGTTAACATGAATATTTCTCTCGTTACTTCTTAATAAAAATTTCTTTATTCAAGGATAAAACAATGTATCAAGCAATTTTAACTAAAATCTAAGAAATGAATATTAAGTTAAAAATAAAACACTAAAAACTTAAACTTTTATTAAATTTAATGACATATCATAAATAAAAAGTTATATTATAGTTCTATTATACTATTGGCTTTACTTCAATAGTTACATTGTCTTTGCAAACTAATATCTGTCTTATAATGGAAGAGTTGAGCAAGATTTAAAACTATCCCCTTGGCAGGAGATTCAACTTAATGTTCATCACATTAACCTATCTAACATTAATCAAATGAATTTAAAATGAATATTATGACACAAAGTATAATTTATAGAAATTCTACTTTTTTAAATACTCTTCAAGATAGCACGGAAAAAGATAATCATAGATCATAGTACAAAAAATAAAATAAAAAAATAAAAAGCGTGTGAGGGTGTGGGAACATCCAATGGGAAAGATGCCAAAGAGTGTTCAAGCTTCTTCAAAGATCAGTAGACTTCTCTTTACTGGACTGGAGGGGATGTTGGCATATAGCATCGCGACGTACGGCGTCTGATTTAGTTTCTACCCAACACGACAGACTTGGTTCAAAATTAGTGGTTTTCATCCTACTTATCAGGATAAAGCTTACTTCACTTGTTAATAGTGATCCAAGACACTTAAAAAATGCCGGTAGGTTTTGAACAGTTTTAGTTTTTTCATTAACATTTAACTAAACAAATGAAAATATGAAATTAAAAAATTATCTGCTAATTTATTTTATAATGCTTTTTAATTTAACACTTGCTCATATGTATGGAAGCTTTAGAGTAATTTTACTTTCAAACATTTGTCATAAATGTTTATATAATTGTTTTGGGATTCTATCAAGTAACTTCAACATGACAACAACTGGGCGTGACTTTTTGAATTATTATAAATTTTATTTTGGTTTGAATATTACTTTTTTGAGATAAAATTAAGGAATGGACTTGATGAACTCTATGTCTCGCCAACTTCCTCGAAATTTCTTTTATAAGAGAACTTTCAACAAATATATTCTGTATTTCAAATTTATTGATAAAATTTTTATTTTTTTAGTTAGTTTAATTTTCAATTAATATCTTAACTGATTTAGAAAAGAATGAGCTCACCTTTGCAAGCTGAAATTAGACTTCCGGTGTGTAATAATAAAAAAGAAAGGAGAATTAAGTTAGCCATCTGCACTCCATCCAACACTAGTGAGTTTTAGGTACTTGTAAAAGTGGCTGAAAATAATCTAAGGTAGCAAGAAAGCTCCAGAACAACCATCTAAACGAGACTGGAAGATTTATTTCAGCGTACAAACTTTCCTTGTCTCTCACAAATTAATTGTAAATATTAATCTAAGTGAAGTAACTATAACAGTGGTAGATTACTTGAGAGTTAGAAAATAATGAAATGGAAAATTAACCGTTAAGCTTAATAAATATATTGGCAAACACAGATAATTTACAAGTTAATATCCCAAAATATCATCGTGAGATCTGCCAAAAGAATATTTGTTAATAGACAAACATGACACCAGTATATAATGTTATAACTTCATCGTCAATTTTCAAGAGTAAAATTAAAAATGATGATGATTCTATCCAGTTTATAAATACTTATTTATCGCGCCAGGTTAAGACTTTACGTCATTCGCATTTAACTAGCCCATACATCCAGTAAATTATCACAGACTTCATGGAACTTGGAGAAAAAAATAAAGATCAAAGTATTAGAAAAGAGATATGAGGATTATTGGCACTTAATTGTTTATTATAAAGATAATAAAGTCCACGACTTTGTTTAAATGTACAAATAAAACTTTCAAGTAACTTATTGATAACAGCTGCATAGTATATTTACTGCTGATGATATTTTATATCTGTCATTTTTTATTTCTAGCCAATTTTATTTTCAGATGTGCTTAAGTGATACTATTAACCTCGTAAATTTTTTTCTGATATTAATTTTGGGCACACTAACATATTCCTAAAATACTAATATATTAGTTTACATAAAAAAAAGTTACAATTTATTAATTGATTCTAATTTATTTCTCATAATCTTTTCATCAAAAATAATTATTCTTGATGATATGTGGGAATCTTAATTTATTTAAAATAAACAGTTAAGTTCAATAACAAATCAACAACAATCATAAATAATAAAATAAAAATGAAAATATTTTCTGAAGTAAATATTTTTTTTTAGGCTCGCAATAAGGAACAAGAAGCTGAAGTTTTAGCTTGGATTGAAGCAGTTCTAGGTGAAAAACTTCCTAATGGAGATTATGAAAACATTTTAAAGGATGGTGTGATTCTTTGTCAACTTATCAATAAAATTGCCCCTGGATCAGTAAAAAAGATCCAAACTAAAGGAACGAACTTCCAGCTTATGGAGAATGTTCAGAGGTAAATCATTTTTAACTACCTTTAATTTGATTTAATTACTTCAGAAAAAGTATTTGAATTTATTTTTATAAACTCTAGACTTACTTAACAGGATATGACATATCTAAATATAAATTTTTTGCAGATTCCAAGCAGCTATCAAAGCATATGGTGTGCCTCAAGAAGAAATTTTCCAAACTGCTGATCTCTTTGAGAAAAGAAATATTCCTCAAGTCACCTTGTGTCTCTATGCTCTTGGAAGAATAGTAAGAGCACATATTTATATTTCTATAACTAATTTGTAAGATTATTTTATTTATAACATGATGGATAATTATTTAATTTTTTCCACTTAGACCCAAAAACATCCTGAATATAATGGACCAAGATTGGGCCCCAAAATGGCAGACAAAAATGAAAGAACCTTTACTGAAGAACAACTAAGAGCACATGAAGGCCAACTCAACCTTCAAATGGGATTCAACAAAGGTGCAACTCAAGCTGGTCATGGTGGATTTGGAAACACAAGACATATGTGAACTCTTTTATTATTTAATAAGATATCATTTGTCATATATTGATATTATATAAGTTAAATATTTAAATGATTGTAATTGGAATATTTTTTTAAGTCAAAACACCTTTACAACACACACATACACAAACACCAACAATGTACACACAAAAACATCTACTCAATTGACATTATTTGAATAATAATAATATAAAACAAGTTTTTATCTTGTAGTTTTTATTTAAATTATTAACTATTTTTAGGAATGAAATATAAATAAACAATTCTATTTTTTATACTTGGAGCTGAAAATTGAAGCTATTTACTATTTTAAAATAAGAGTGATATGCGTTGGATCTTAATGAAAGACAAGAGTATGATGATGAAGTCATTTACACGCCGGTTGTCTTTCAACACCAGTACACGTTAATGTAATAGAAGTGAACGTAGTGTCTGTTGACATTTTGTGTTAGAATATATATTTTAAAAATAATACAATCAGAGTAACTTTTTGAAATATCTTGCAAAATAACAAAAAAACTTCAAGATTAAAAATCAGTCGAGTTTGTAAGAAAATGTAATTCAGTTTCACTTTGGTTGGCATTAAATGAAGAAAACTATTTCTGGATTCATTTGATTTTCTTCAACATCTCTGGATCAGGTCACGGCTCCGTAACAAATTTGAAAACAAACAAGGGCATCCTTCTCTATTAATAAATGACCTCATTTTGTTTTATTTTTTTTATCACGAATTTAAAAGTGACTTTAAATTTTCACAACACCAAATTTAACCGAGAAAATTAACTATATTTTTTTCACTTGAAAAATGTTAGAAGATATTTTTTAATCTGTTAAAATTACGTAGCCTTTAAGTCATGATAGATCATCGATAAAATTAGAACTTATTTCTGAATATCAAAGGAAAGCTTTAAATTTTCGGAAGATGACAAGTGCTGTCTGTAATTAATGCGAAAAATATAATTTTCAATAAATTGGTCTACTTAAGACTTAGAGGTCAATAGTAGTTGAACAATTATTCTTATAATATTCAAACTAACAATAGACTGTAAACAAACAATAAACTGATGAATGAGAATCACCAAAAACCATAAATTCGCAATTGTTTTGATTTTCGCGCGATGTCAAATGTTGCGCACGCAATGTTCCATTTGTTAAACACGTCATAATTGTCGCGCGCACTTCACCGCAAATTGAAACGCATTCATCAACTTGACCGCAATGAATTACCATATTTCAATATCATTATACTTCATAATCAACGAGATTCAGTTACAATATTTAATCATCCAGCTAATTATTCAATATGTAGACGTTTATTAAGCTTACCTGCCACAATGGACGTCCAGGCATGTTGAGTATAACTTTGAAAACTGATGCTTTCACAGAAAATAGGCAGATAAAATTGAAAAATTTTTTTCACTCCTTGCTTATACTGACGTTAGCGCAAGCACACAAAAATGTGGGGCTGCGATGGTCCGTGCGGAGGTATATATCTGTGTCATGGATTTAAGAGTATTAGTGTAAATTGGCGTAGGCGCGTTTCTATATATGGATCACTTACTCATCTGCATAATACAAAAGTTTATATACGCATTCTTTGTATCAGAATTCAAACAAAACTATCGTCAAGTATACTAAACTAAGTTAACACAGCTTCTGCTCAGGATGATAAACATTATGTGAATGTAAACATTGCTAATGTTTTCACTGTTATTTGTCATTAATGAATCGGTGTAGATTTATTGTTCCAAAACTTAAGATCTAGAAAACAAAGTTTGATTAATTGGAATAAAATTACGAATAATTGATGCAACTTTAAAAAATAAAATGTTCGCAAACCTTTTATCAGAAAATCAAGAAGTTTTCTATTCCAGTTATTCTATTAACTCGAGAAAGCATGAAAAAATGGAAGGAAATCATGGATCAATAACTTTGGAAACTTTAGTTCCAAACTTTTTGGAGCAGAAAATATCTTCATTACTTTTGTTTTGTTCTCAATCTAAAAAATAACGAAAACCAGCTAAATTCAAATATGTCATCAATTAATAATATTGCTTTTATTTTAAACATTAAAGTGAATAAGTTAAAAATAATAAATAAATAACAAATAAATACCTCAAGTAATTTCTTTTTATTATAAATATTTTTAATAAGAGTTTTATTCAATCAAGGTGCATAATATTTATTTATTCAAGATTTATCAATCTTTACATCATGACATCCACTTACAATTTAATTTTTATTTTTATCAGTGATAAAATTTGGAGCTGAGTATTAAAGTGTATGTATCCTTGCCCTAGCAGTTGGTCTTGGATAATTAAATTTTTGGAGCTGGATCAAAATAGTGAGTGGTAGGTTGATGTATTAATTCTCCTGGACATGATCCAAGTTATTATTGGCTTAGTACACCATCAAATTATCAGCACAAAAATAAAAGTTAGTGGTATTTCCTATGTTAAATTCAAATAGATTATTTGGAAACTTCTCTTTCGAGGTAGCGTGGCCGAGCGGTCTAAGGCGCTGGTTTAAGGCACCAGTCTCTTCGGAGGCGTGGGTTCGAATCCCACCGCTGCCAGTTTCTTTTGATTTTGCTTCTTTTTTTAACTAGGATTATCTCTCAGTATTTACAGACGCACTCAATATGTATAATCCGCCAATTTTTATGCGCAAGTTTGCGGCTTACGATGATCCAATGGGTTGCGTCGGCACGCGGCGCCGTGGTTCACACCTAACAGGAGATTATGAACTGTTAGAAGATAAACAACAAAATGAATAGGTATCCTGCAAGGCTATAGATACGTACATGTGTGTTAGGCCTCGGTACTTTTTAGTCCTTTTAATCTTCCATCTATCTTTTTACTTCCTTCGATATTCGTAGCGTCTTTTAAAAAGAAGTTGGAATCAAGAAAGGGATAAAGGGTCTCCTTACAGGGATACACTTCGTAAGCTCTTGCTGGCATATGAAATCCTGCTGAGAATGTTGTTCTCAGGGGCTCGAGTGAGTTTATTAGAATCCTTATGTGGGTATAGATTTCTATGTTAAAAACAACAAATGGTACCGAGGTCATCAAGTCTGTTGAGGGCAAGGCTTGAGTATTACCCCTGGAGGGAAGATGGAAATATGGATGCCGAAAAAGAGAGAATGAAAGAAGAATGTGCTAGTTACTCCAAACCGGGCGTGTTGCCCTGATAGAGGTTTCATTCTGAAGATGCCACCCCGGACCACGCCTCTAATTGTAACGTAATATAAAGGGATTGATGTGCTGATATTAACTGTTATTGCAACCATCGTATATTTTTTAAAATTCATTTCCTATTTTTATCTTATCATTTTTCTTATCTGCATTGATTTCTACATTATTAACATCATTTCCTTTCAATGAACTCTAGTGTTGATATAAAAATAAATAAAAATAAATTCGATGAAAAATATATTTCATATCAAAACTCAACAGTTCATCGAAATATCCAAGTGTCTCAGAAGATGACTTTTATGAAAAAAATTCAAAATATTTTTTACTTCATCATCAAGTCAATTTATTTTACTCTACAGAGTTCATTTTAAATGCTAGAATTCATCAGAAATGATTTTTATTTTTAATTGATGAAACAATTCTTGGTCATTTTATTCATACTGATCAACATCTACATTCATCTACAGTCATATGATCCCTGTTTTATCTTGAAAATGTCGAGTGGTGCGTGCTTACATCCCGCATACGGTCTATTCCACATTAGGAAACAATAAGAACTCAAGAGCTCTTTAGTAGCTTATGCAGTGAAACGATATTCGCGCGGGTTGTCTCATTCAGCCCCTCCTAGCATCAGGAAAGTAGAATCACTTAGCACTGTATCTCTTTATATTCAGCTTAAACCACAAAGATTTCACTTCTAAAAATTCAAGAATTTATCATTAATTATTCATTTCTAAACTCCTGCGATCGTTGACGAATCATCATTACTTCACTATACTGTTCGATTCATGATGATTTATTGGAATCAGTTTATACTAAAAGGTTTACTGAGAAAAGAAGTTCTTGACTGACTTGTGATGATAGTATAGGAACCAGAGGGGATAAGTACTGAATGTTAGGTATCATCAGTAGGACAAACAAAATGGTAAATTCTTGCAACAAGAAGGCGGAATGGACATAATCAACAAATCAACTGACTTTAGATTAGGCGAACATGAGGCATAGTTGAGTAACTAAGAACAGCTGTTGCCACGTGTCTACATGTTGGCTTCATCTACTGTATGTTTCCCGTGGATCGGAAAGACATAATTTTGAGGAAGAGCCGCATGGGCCTTAAGCACCTCTATGACGTTCCGTCATCTTATTGGTTTACTATGATTCTTTCCATTGTGTATTGGTCCATAGATATCAGATTGTCCAGAAATTTGGACAGGACCAACACATTAAGCTTACAACATTTAGCTTCTGGTCTTACTTTGACGCCAGAGATGAATGATTGATAAATAATTTTCTCAAGCAAGTGCAAAAATACGTGCGAATAACGCATATGAAGTCATACAAAGTGCAATGACTCTGTTTTCCCCCAAATTTAACGAGTCACTGCCATTTCAAGTGTTCCTCAGTGGTTGATAAATATTTGGATATTACAATATTTTGAGGTAAATATTTTTTCAATATTAATATACATAACAGCGAGACGTATCAACTCAGAAAGTAGTTATGGGTCAAACGTGTTAATAATTTCCCCTAATTTTTGCTAAATCTATATTGCTAAAGCTTCGTTATCCTACCCTGCCTCACTGCGTGTTGCAAAGTCAATGACATTGTGCCGTTTCTGCCAGTTGCGTCAGAGTGCGCACCGTCGACTACATGCGTTCCTGTTGAAAAAATTCCTCACGGGCGAAAGTCAAGGTACGACGGAATATGCAATATTCACTGGCTTGTGGAGTAGTATAGAGAATGGTGAACTGTACAAGGTTATATAGCACAAGGTTTGCCGCAAAAATAATATTATTGACATGATTTCCTGATAGTAGGAGGGGCTTAGCGAGACAATCCGCGCGAAATTCTTCAACACCTCCACAATCATAATGACCCCTCTTTACATTCATTGAATTTTTACTTTTTTATTATCTCCATCACTAAGAAGTACAACACTCTTTAATAGATAATGACAGCCTAAATATCTCAGTAAGCATCTCGTTAATTTGGAGCACACCTGGATCAACATGATGAGTTTTTAGAAGTGTCAAATCTCTTGAAGGTATAGCTTTATTTTATTCTCTGAAATAAAAAAATTATTATATTCTTGAAGATCAATGATATAGTTATAAAAATAAGAAATATCACTATTAATGAATTAAGATTTGATGATTAATTAACTGAGAACTTATTATTGAAGAAACAAAACTCTTTTTTTCATTATTTTTAGTTCAAGTTCTGAAGAGATATTTAGATTATTTTATAATTAATAAAAGTTCATAGATACCTTACATTTTTCTTATATTTTTAACAGAAAATTTACTCTTTTGATTAGCTTTGACGTTGAAACTTTTAATAACATTTTTAGTAGATTTTCAATTTTTGGTGAAAAACTTTTACAGAGTGAGAATAGAGTTATTACATTATAAATATGGTGAAAATTTTTAGAACGTTTTGATAAAACTGTTTTCACTTATAGAAAGGTAATGATTTAATGACTCTTCCTAATTCAACCGGTGTATTATTACTCAAAAAGGTAATCTAATCAATGAGATTCAAAGACTCCGTGGCGCAACGGTAGCGCGTCTGACTCCAGATCAGAAGGTTGCGTGTTCAAATCACGTCGGGGTCAACTGAGAATTATTTTTTATTTTAAATGGAGAAAAAGTAAAGCTGAATCTTGTGGATCAAATGAAAGTAGTTCAACTATAACTATATAAAACTTTTTTATGATTATCTGATTATATTTTTCTATTTTTATCCAAAAAGCAAAATAAGCAATGGGTCTGGGCTTAATTTGTGCCCTGACAACGAACTTCCCATTAATTGAAATCCATAACTTTGTCATCTTTTATTTTTTTCGTTTCTGAAAAATTACTATTGTCATAAATAATATACAATTGTTTAATCACATCAAGTTATTTATAACAATATTTGTTGATATTTATCAAATATAATCATAGTCATAATAATTCAATTGATTAAAACCATTTTTAATTGGTTATAATAAATTGAATTTGTTATAAACAAATACATGATTGTTTAGAATCATATGAAGTTATTAACAACTATATTATATTGGCCTCAGTTGTTAATCATGTTAATCATCTAATAAGAATACTAGGAAGTATAATGGAGCTATCATTATTCAATATCGACGGATTTTAATATTCAAATTTTTCCACATTTTCATTTTTTTACGTTCTAAAAATTTTCTATACATTATTCTTTCCCCCCATAAAAATAAAATACTCAACAAACTATGAAAAATTAACAAAGTCATCAGTGGTAGAATATTGTAAAATTCGACTGTTTTAGCTTCATCTTCTGCCTATTAAATCAAAATATTTTTGATTAATAATTATTAAAGGTCGTTTATATAATTATTTAAATTCATGCATTTACTTTTGTAGGTGGAGTATTAGTCCAATCGTCGATAATTTTGTGTAATACACCACTATCTCTCAATATGAAAATGCTGCAGTATGTTCAAATAATTGATTAATAACTTAACATAGTTATTTTTGTGATTTTATATTCATCAACATACTGGCGATCAATTAATCCACGATATGGGTTATTTTGTGGTAATCCAATGGCTAAAGATGCCACAAACACAGCTTCTGATGCCAATAGGATACAATTCTTCATACGAAATTTTGCAGCAGGAAGATCTGATGATAAGAAAGCATAGTTTTTCTCAAGACATACCCGTTCCAATCCTTCTGCAAATGTCTGTGGTAATGAAGCCTCTGTTAATATTTTTTTTACAAAAATTTCTTTTGTTATTTCATCAGCAGCATTCTATTAATCAAATAAATTATATAAAAAATCAGTAAATAAAATATAATATATAAATTTTACTATTCATAATACCTGAAAAAAATCATAGTATGCCGAGTTTCCTAAAACTCCCATCCGGTAAGATCCATCTTTGATAAATCCTTCCATAGTCGCAAAGGGTGCTACAAAATTATTGATTGTCAACGAGCTAGTGAGAATTCCTGAATATGCTGCAAGTATTATTATTGCAGTTAAGTGAGTAGTAAATTGGACAACATTAATTGAAGCGATGGTTGACTTTGGCATGCCTGAAAAATCAATTTAGTATCATTGGAAATATAACTCCTATCAATTAATAGTAATTATGCTGATACAATGAGTAGATTATACCTTGACCACAAAATGCTCCAAAAACATCCAAAAAAACATCAGAGATTCTTAAGGCATTTGTTTCTACTAATGTTAAAAACCTATTTCTCTTATAGAAAAATATAATGAGAGCAATTATACTACTAGTAATTATAATTAAGCATGGAATGATGATCCAAATACTTTCGCTGAAAGGAGTTAGAAATAAGTTCCATGATAGCGTTGAGAGAGGTTTTTTGAAGAAGAAACAATCTCTGAATTGAATAAGATGATGTTAAAAATAATATTTTATACAATGATTAATTAATTTATTATAACAATACCTAGTTAAGTATAATGGTGTAGTAAATTGTATAGCTTCCAGCCTAGCAGAAACCATTCGTAAATTAGTAGGAAAAATGTCACAAATATTGTAGACCAGACTACCAACACCTCCTGTCCAAGTGCCATTTTGTAAGCGAGAGCCGTATTCAGATACTACATGATAAGCTGGCCTTTCAGTTCACAACCATGATTTAAAATTAGATAAATTCAACGAATCTAGGAGATTGAGGAAATGAAAACTCTTTCTTACGTGAAATTCATTCGTTCTTGTAGAATATCCACAACTGCACCAAAAATTCCTCCTATTCTGATACCACGTTGCTCATCCATTACAATTGTGGAACCAGGAGTAGACTAATTAATTTTTATATTTTTATAAATGCACACAATTAACCTGAAAAATAATTGAACTCACATCTAACACTGCTATTCGCATCAAATGACCATACAAGTTACTTCGTCGCCTGTACAAGGTAAATGTGGGTAATTGAAACCCATAATCTGGATTCCAACTTCCAAAGATGTTATATCTTAATTCCGTGTATTTATCTACTTGATAAATTTCTGTTATTATTGTACTATTATTACTACTGCTAGAATTTTTCTGTGATATCATAAATCGACAATTAAATGGTATATAAACATCAACAAAGTAATTCTTGATTTCTGTGTCATCATTAAAGAAAATCAGCCAGACAGGATCAGATATGTCTATCAGCGGTATTAACTGCTGTAAAAAATTTTTGTACAAATGTAGAAAATATTTTTAAGACTAAATATTCACTTAAAATATGTTGAATGAGATTTACTTTCATAAGCTGAATTTTTAGTTGATCAGAGTCGTCGAAGAATACAAAGAAATTTTTACTGTTTTGTTGGAGAATTTTGTTGTCCTAAAAGAAATTAAATTTATTTAATAACTACAAAAAATTATTATATTTTACTTACTCGTATGAAAAATTCTTCAATGTTAACAACCGTAGCTTGGATCCAATTTTTGTTGAAAAAAATAATGAGATTTCTTAACTTAGTCTTGCCTTCAATGTCTTATTGATAATGAAACAAACAATAATAAATCGTCATTTTTTTTTAATGAGCTACTGGTAACTTTTAACTTTTATTTAAAAAATAGAATACTAAATAAACTTCCAGTTAATCTGTTTTGTTTACAATTTTCATTTGTTTTTTCACTCGCACATTTTTTGCAAAATATATTTATTATTGCTACTACCATGATATTTTACCTCCAATGCCTACGAAACTGGATGATGCATAAAATAAGACAACAGAATTACACTGATAATATTTATAAATATTTGTTATGATATCTTGATACATATCATTTGATTTTATTAATTGATTATCAATAAACTGTAATGAAGTGAATAATAATCCTAATTGTATGAAAGTGTTCATTATATTAAGGTTCTTAAAGATTTTTTATATTTGAAAATGTCATACAAGAATGTTTATTCGATCGTAAAGAGTCGCTTTATGTACTTGCATAGATTTGCGTGTTGAGTATCATAGAGAAACTTTTTATTGATCAAAGAATACAAAACCACTTATGACTTAAATGAAAATTGATTATCTGTAATGATATGTTTCTTTGAGTTCAAAGATTTTAATAACAGTACCTAATCAACTTTAATGTTTAATTTTGTTGTAAATTTGATCAATACTTATTTTCTTTCGACAATCTTCTTTCTTTTATTATAAAAATAGACTTGCGTGACATTTCCAAACATGATTTTAATTTTATCTAAACGAAATTAAATGCATAAATTAAAATGAGGAAATTTTCTTTTGAAACGTATTCTCTTTGATCGTTTAATTTTCAGTAACCGTCTTCTACGTAATTTTATTTTCTCCTTGTGATTGTGGACTATTCTTTCGCACCAGAGAAATAAAAGGCTGAGGAGGCAACTCCCTAGGAGAAAAACAATTAATGGAACCACATTGTGGAGTTGTACTGGAGTGATTGGTTCCTCCTGTTTTAAATATAAATTTACAATTAGATTATTAATTAACAAAAAGCAATTATAAATTTAATAAGAATGATATTTCACTTTGTTTGGTTTGAGTACCATCCAAGCATCGGAGATTTTGTTCAAGAGGCCATTATCTCTGAATGTATAAATACTAAAAAAAGCAAAACCACAATAAAGGAACATACTTCTATATTTTTAACATCATTCAATGACATACTAGCTATTTATTAAACCTCGAAATGGACTGCTTTTATGCATCCCCATACATATTGATGCTGCAAATATAGTTTCTGATGATTTCAATATGCAATTGGGAGATTTCCATTGTGATATGAGAGGTTGTGCACTTAAAAATGCATAATTATCTTCATTACATACACGTCTTATTCCTTCAGCAAAAGTTTGGGGTAATGAAGTTTCTACTTTGATTTTATGTTCATAAATTTGATGAACTACTTTATCAGTAGCATTCTAAAATAAAAAAGATGAAAAAGAAGATATTGATGTTTGAAGAAAGATAACTGTTATTTAATTTAATATATATTTAAAATACTCGAAAAATGTAATAATATGCCGAGTCGTCTAGAACTCCCATTCTGTAAGAGCTATCTTTAGCAAATTCTTCCAAGGTTTGAATAGGTGCCTCAAATCGATTAACTGTTAACGAACTAATTAATACTCCTGAGTAAGCTGCATATATTACGACTACTGTCAAGTGAATTGTGTATTGAACAATTGCGATTGATTCAATTTTTGATCGAGTCATTGCTGTTCATGGAAATTATCTAACATTAGCTGAAAACTAATGGCAAATAGATAATTTTAAGGTCGAATACCTTCATTACAAAATGCACCCAAAACATCTAGGAAAACTTCTAAATTGGTGAAAGGCCCTTGGTCAGTCATAATTCGAAAATATTTTTTTCGATGAAATAATTGAATAAGATTTATCAAAAGAGAAGAAATAAAAATTGTACAGATAATAGCGAGCCAAATATTTAGATGGAATGGGTGGAAGAAAATGTTCCATGTAACAGTTGTTGGTGGTTTTCTGAAGATAAAACAATCGCTAAAATATAAGAAAGGTATGAATAAATTACTTTTATTTATAAAGTTATTGCTATATTATTAAACGTACTTGATCATGAATATTGGAGCACTGTATTGTATAACACTAAGTCGTTCAGTAACAAACCTCAAATCAGTAGGAAATAAATCTGAACGATTATTAACCAAAGTATTCATACCTCCTGTCCATGAACCATTGTCCATACGTATACCATATGAATTAGCAATTGTGTAAGTTACGCTTCAGAAACAAAAATTACTTTTTAGATTTAATTATTAATAAATGTGATCCAAAATTCATACTACTCACGTAAAATTTATACTTTCTTGTAATAATTCCATAAAGTCTCCAAAAAATCCTCCCAACTTAATGTTCTTATCTTTATCGATGACAACGATTGAACCCGGTGGAGACTATTTAATTAAAGAGTTAATTTATAATTAGCAGTAATTGAATAGCAGTTTTATATAATAACTGGTTAATAAAAAAATGTTATTACATTCAATGCAGTAGCTCGAAAAACATGTCCATGTAGATTATTTCTACGTTTATATAAGCTCACCGCAGGTAGTTTCATTCCAGTTTCTGGGTTCCAATTTCCAAAAATATTTTGTCTTAATTCTCCATGGCTATCTATTTGATAAATTTCTGTTATTATTTCACTCGTCTTGTCATTAGTGACATTTCGCTGGGATATCATAAACCGGCAATCAAATGGTATATAAAAGTTTTCAAAAAAAGTTGCAATTCTCGTTTCATCTTTGAAGAAAATTAGCCAAATTGGGATATAAATCGCTACTGAAGGTATGAATTGCTACAACATAATAATAATTAAATTACTTAGTAAATAAACTATTAATTAGTGGATCATTAAAAATATCAGAATATTACACTTACTGTCACAAGTTGATCTTTGAGTTTATCAGAATCATCCAAGAATACGAAGAGATTATTTACAATATGATGGTTGGCTGTTGCATTCTAAATAAAAAAAAAAAATAGAATATCAAATAAATTTATGTTATAAATATTAACATGATTCTCTTACTTGTGCTATAAATGTGTTTACATCAGTCACAAGAGCTTTTACCAAATGCTTCTTAAAGAAAATTAAAAGATCTCTCAATTTTGTTGAAACTTCAATGTCTATTCAAGATTAATGGAGTCAATTATTTTAATATATTGTAAAAATTAAAATGTGTCTATATTTATACATAAGTGAACTTAACTCACCTTGAATAATAGCAAAATTTGTATCAGAATGAAATAATATGACAGATTGACATTCATAATGTCTATAAATACCTATGATAACATTCTTATAAATATCATTGGATTTAATTAATTGTGTATTCACCAATTGAAGATGAATAAAGAGAAGAATAGGGCATGTATGGAACTTCATTACTGCTATTCTCTAAGAAATAATTTCTAATACTCTTTTTTAGCTCTATTTGAAGAAAAATTAACTATTTATTTTACTGTATTTTAAAAATGAATGAGTAATTATTTGTGAATAATTTTTATTTTTAATCATTTTAAATTCTACGAACAAGTATTTCTATTTTAAACATGTTCAACATATTAACTATTTACAAAAATATAACTGTTCAAACAATATCCATTGACCCGTAGTTAACTGACTGATAAGTGGATAATTGAATAGAAAAAAAAAATGATGTGAAGTGTTGATAACAATGAGGTAATAGGTTTGTTGTGAATAAATTTTCTAGAAACATAAAAAATTCACTTACAACTTATATTTTTATCAATTATAATTTTTTTTTAATGCAATCAATTTTATTAAATAATTTAAAATTGAACTGATGATTTATAAATGTTTGTGCAATTTTTTATTTTTAAATAATCGACTCTTCCTTCGTATTATTTGATTTTTCGATATTTTCTTCGGTAAACAATGTTTTTTCAAATGTACTTTTGAAAATTCACTGATCTTACGTTTTGTTAATATTTTATGTACTTTTACTTCAGCCCATAAAAATAAAATACTTATGATAGTTATTATGAAAAAACAAACAAATATGGGACAGACGTCAATGATATCAACTGAATAAAACATAAATTTATTCTGCAAATAAAAAAAATATTTATGCATAATTATTACTTTTCAAGAATACATTTTAAATAGTTTTTTTTTTGTATATTCACCTCAGAAGGATTTTTTTTTATCCAATCATGGAAAATTTTTTGCAGAATTCCATTCTCCCTCAATAAACCAATTCTAAAACATAAAAAAAGTTATAAATTCCGTCAACGATTTACCATTGTTATTGACATACTGATAATTAATTAATTCCCTAAATGGACTTTTTAGTTGCAATCCCATAGCAAAAATAGCGAGAAGAACATGTTCGGATGCTATTATATCACAATTTTCCATATGAAATTGTAACGCTGAATAATATGTCGCCAAAAAAGCATATTTGTTTTCTTTACACACATACTCCAGTCCTTGTATGTAAGATAAAGGAAGAGAGTGTTCTCGTAATATTTTTTTCTTATAAATTTCACGGATGGTTTTATCCACAGAATTCTAAAAAAAAAATCGATATTAGAACGAAAATTGTTTATCATTTAAAATTATTCGTTTTACATTGAAGAAATCAGTATATGCTGAGTGTCCTAAAATTCCCATTCTAAAAGTTTCATCATGAAGAAGAGCTTCCAAAGTTTTAAAAGGAGGTTCAACAGTAAGAACTGCTATGGTACTCATTAATATTCCTGAATATGCTGCAAGTATTACTACCGCTGTTATATGGGTAGTATATTGAAGGATCATAATTGAATTTATTCGTGACAAAGGCATTGCTAATATAAATATGCATTAATTAGTTAAATAAATTATCTTGTGGAGTATTTCATGTTTACCTTGATTACAAAATATGCCAAAGACATCTAGAAAAGCACTCGAATGTTTTACAATTTTTCGATTAAATCTCATTATGGAATACTTCTTTTGATAATATAAAGAGATGAGATCGAGTGCTGTACTTATAAGTATGATTACACATAAAATAGCAATCCAAACCTTTACATGGAATGGTCTCCAAGGAAGATTCCATGTTATTATTTTTTCTGGTTTTTTAAAGAAAAATACATCTCTGAAAATATCAAATTATATAATAACATGCGTTTAATCAATACAGACTTCTTCATTTATTTTTAATCATATACATATACCTAGTTGGATATACTGGTACAGTGAATTGAATTATTTCCAATCTGCTCTTTATAATACGTAAATTAGCCGGAAAAATATCTGATTGATTATAAACCAAAGTACCCATACCACCTGTCCATTTTCCGTGTTTGAAACTTCCATATTTATCAACAAGTGTGTAAGTAGTCCTAAAAAATTAATTTTTCATTGAATATTAATAAACATCAAAATAGAAAATGTTAGTTTTATGCTTTATGATTATTACGTGAAATTTAAGGTCTGTTGCAGTACTTTCAACACTGATCCAAAAATTCCAGTTAATATTATATTATTCTTTTCATCGAGTTTAACAATTGTATTGGGTGCCGACTAATAATTAAATAATGTGATATTTTATAAGAATCATGAATATCAAAAATGTTTTTTCATCATACCCGCGCGAAAAGTTCACTTTTCCATTGGAGAGAGGTTGAACTTTCCACACAGGTATGACGAAAAATCATATTCGGCCCTAGGGAGGACAATTAGACTAGCCACACGTGGTTTAAGCTAGTCTACTTTTCCTCCCTAGATGTGAAATGTACTATTTTACCCACATCTATTGCAGTAACGCGCAATAAGTGACCGTGAAGATCATTCCTTCTTTTGTATAGATAAAGTTTTGGTACTTTCATTCCAGCCCGTGAACTCCAGCTTCCAAAAGTATTATATCTCAGTTGTTTGTTTCTTTCTATCCTATAAATTTCAGTGATTATTTCACTATTCTTAGATTCTGTATCTATTTTGGATATCATCAATCGACAGTTGAAAGGCACGTAAATATCAGAAAAAAAATTTTCAACGTTTGTCTCATCTTTGAGAAAAAATAACCAGACAGAGTCAGACATATTTATCACTGGAAGTAATTGCTGCAAAACAAGAAGAAAAACATAATCCTATAAATTGATAATTATTTAGGAAGAAAATATATTTACCTTCATCAACTGATTTTTTGAATCGAGAGAATCATTTAAAAAAACTAAAAGACAATTATCCAAACGGCGACGAATATTGGAGTTCTAAATAAAATATGATAAAAAGTTAATAAATTTGTAAAAATTAAATCTTATTGACCGTCAGTCGTGCAACGGACACTCAAAATTTCATATTTTATTATACACCTAATACTGCCCAAATATTACTACACCAATAACTTGTATCAATTAATAATAACATTTTCTTACAGTCAAAAATTTCGGGATACTCGTAATTGTAGTTAGAATCATATTATTACTCAGAATAAACACAAGTTCTTGCAGTTTTGCCATTTCATTTGTATCTAAAAAATAATTTTTAAACTAAATGTGTATTGTAAACATTAATAAACATTATCAACACCATAAACAAGATATAGGAAATTAATTCACTTTGAAAAATGCTTTAAAAATGGCCACTAATTATCTATCGTTTATCAATGATTTTCTCTACAAACAGATTTTTGGTGTATCATTTTAATGGGTGGCCTTAAAGGAGCAGCCATAATAAGTACATTCAACTTTAAACATATACTGTAAATTTTAGTGTTTTATTTTAAAACATTGAAAGTGTTTTTATATGACGTCGCTATAAAACATAAAACACTTAAAAACATTTTAAAATCGAGACAATGTTAGTCAA